GGTTACTAAGGCACTAATTTTGATATGTACTGCCTCCTCACCTTTGCCTCCCAGAATCCCTAGCTTCCTTCAAAGCACAGCTCACATGAAGCCTTTCCTGACCTCCCAGGTGTCAACTGTCTTTCCCTGCTGCAGTTATGTTGATTTTCATTGTATTTACTTCTAGAAGAATGAAATTTCCTTGAGGACAGGACTTGTTTTATTTTTTTCTTTGTATCTCCAGTGTCTGGCAGTATTTTTTTTTTCCAACCAGACTTGTGATTTCAGTGTTGCAGGGAACTTCCTTTATCAATGCAGATTGTAGCAACTGGACAGCATTTAGTCTTAGAGAATGGCCTAGGGCCCTGATGTGCCATATGAAATACACAGGGTGCCAGCGAGGATGTGCCAGAAGTAGGACTTGACTCCATGACTTGTTGTTTCCCAAGCCAGCACTCTATCTGCTCTACAAAGCTACTCGACACATGTTGTTCAGTTGTTTCAGTCCTGTCTGACTCCTCATGACCCCATTTGGGGTTTTCTTGGCAAAGATACTAGACTGGTTTGCCATTTCCTTTTCCAGGCCATTTGAAGATGAGAAAACTGATGTAACAAAAGTTTTTCTTTTTTCCCCAATGGAGTGAGGAAAAGAGGGTGGAAAAGAAAGTAGATTTTTATTAATTGAAAGAAAATTACATTAAAAAAAAAGAATAATGTCAAGTCTAAGGATCTTCTACAGGAGCTGAGACCAGGAAATTCATAGAAATCAACAAAGGAACCAGGTCCAGGATAGGTCGGAGCTCACAATTCCTAGGAATATGAAAATCTTTAGTTGTCTTCATTCCAAGTCAGAACATGGATAAAATACTGTAGAGGTCATCAAGTCCAAATATTTCATTTTATAATAAGTAAACTAATTTGTAGGAAGGTTAAGCACTGCCTACTGGTTCATAGCAGAGGTAGGCCTAGAATGTATGTTTCCCATTGGACTAAGGTCTGGTGGTTTTTTTTTTTTATAGATTAAAAAGTTTTTTTTTTTAATCTGTCTGAGTTGAATTTAACCACTTAGCTAAAATTAATTTATGTCATTCAGTAGTTCAATTTTTTTTTCCTTTTGGAAAGATGTAAGAATAAATCTTTCACTAACTTAAAAAAAAAAAGATGAGAAAACTGCGGCAGGCAAGGTTAAGTGACTTGCTTAGGGTTTCACAGCTAGTGTCAGAGGCTAGATTTGAACTTAGATTTTCCTGACTCCAGGCTTAGCACTATACCCACTGAGTTAGCTAGCTATACCTCCCTGCCCCCCCCTACACATAGTAGGTGCTTAATAAATATTTGATCTGTTGAACTGAAGTGCCCTGAGGTCTCCAACCATAACATCATTAGCATCGTAGTCTAACCAAGCACTAGACAGCTAAATGGTTCCTATACAAATAAATGTGAATCTTAGCTAGGCTTTGACTGGTTTCAAGCTAGTCTTAGAAGAGAACTTTTCTACATCAGACTTTGAGTTCATTTTGCTGGTTTAGTTATGGTTGTTAAAACTTATCCTTGCATGATGGCTAGTTAGTGACTCTTGTGAATGTGGGGTCATTCCTTCTGGATTGCTGATCAAATTAGAAATTAACACAGTTAGGACTGTAAGCATTTTCTGCATAATTAAAAATGCAAGAATGGGTGAATTTTAGTGAGACCAGGACTTTCTTGTTTGCTGGCAGTGTGGGTTGTGAGCATTCTGTAGCTGGATCCAATGGATAGCCTAGAACGTGGGCTCCTCATGCTGACACGTGGGTGTCCTGGAATCATTTGTGGAAGGGAAGGGAGTCACAGTGACTGGGCTTTCCAGATTCTTGGGGAACCATACAGCGTATAATGCTGTTTCCTGACAAACAGGAAGTTCTGGCAAAGCACTGGTTTATTTCACAATGGAGAGCTACTGAAAAGGCCAAACATAATTAAAAGGCAGTCAGCAGTTTCGTTTTTCATGTCTTTTTAGGGGGGTGGGGGGGGGGGGGGGGGGATGGTGGGCCAGTATTTGAGTATCTCACTTAAAGGAGATGCTGAAGCTTAGAAGTGGGGAAAACGTTATGCTTGAATTTAAAACTGCTTAGGATCAATAGAAAGGTTAACCACAGTACATGTAATGAATTAACAGGCACATTCAAGTGTATAATGATGATAATAATGTCGAGGAAGTTGACAGTAATAATCAGCACTTATACAGGTCTTTAAGGTTTACAAAGCACTTTACACATAGTATCTCACTGGATCCTCACAACGCTGTGAGGTAGGTGTTATTATTAGGTCCAATTTACAGATGAGGAAACTGAGGCTAAGCCATTTATCCAGAGTCACACAACTAGCGCAGTATTCAAACTCAGCTTTTTTCTTACTTTAAGCTCAGGGCTTTATCCACTTTGCTGCCTAGTTGACTCTTCATGATCTATTAATAGCCTAAAACAATTTACATATTTAATTCTAGGGTTAGATTAGCCACACAAATTGTATGCTGCTGAAACAAAAACAGCTTCTAATTTAAAAAAAAAGTGAATACAAACTGTGTAGTATATTCATTTTAATTTTAATTGTAACATTGAAAATAGATGACAAGTTATGTTGCTGTTCAATTGTGTCTAGCTCTTCATGACCCTATTTGGGCCTTTCTTGCCAAAGATACTGGAGTGATTTGCCATTTCTTTCTCCAGCTCATTTTACAGATGAAGAAACTGAGGCAAACAAGGTTGAGTGACTTGCCCAGGGTCATACAGCTAGTGTCTGAGGCTGAATTTGAACTCGGGTCTTCCTGACTCCAGGCCCAGCACTCTATCCACTGCGTCACTTAGCTGCCTGCCTATTTATCTGCCTGTCTGTATCTGTCTGTCTATCTATCTATCTATCTATCAATGCGTATAGGACTTATTGTGAGTTCTCAGGATAAAATATTAACTCCTTATTATATAAATCAGCACCTAAAATATGAGTTTTCTACCTATTTCTGAACGAATAATGGTCTCCAACCTTCAAAAATAGGCTTTGATAAGGTGATTCATGTGGGCATCTTGCCTGGTACAGCCAATAACAGATAGCTAAACATAGTATTTTAAGCTAAACACAGTATTCTTTCAAACTTCAGCTAAGAGAGATTCCAGTTAAATTATGTTTGAAGTTACTATGTTCTCTTTCAAGCCTTTAAGTCTGTTTTAGATTTTTATGAATACATTTGAGCCATTATACACCACAAGGACAATAAATCTGAATGACTATAGTTAGATCTGTGATTCTTCTTTCCTTTATCTTTTGACCCTTCTAGTCAGGTTTCACGTCTCTAGTAATGCTATTTTGGTCTCTATGGGACAGTAGGATCATAGAATTTAAAGGTGGAAGGAACCTGGAGATCATTTAGTATAACCTGCCATTTTATAGCTGAGGAAACTGAGGCCCAGAGAGGTGATGTAATTTGCTCAGAGTCTCACAGCTGGTCAGTGACAGAGAAAAGACTGGAAATCTGGATCTCATTACTTCCAGGGCAATACTCTGAAACCTCATGTCACTCCTCACTCATAGAGTTCCGCTGCAAAATTGGTTCTGCTCTTGGTGCTAGTAAGGACAACTTGTTAGTACTAATCAATACAAATGTTAAGGGTCAATTTCTAGCTTCAAAAATGGAAATGCATCAATTTATTACTGGGCATCTAGGTGGCATTGTGGATGGAGTACCAGGGCCTAGAGTCAGAAAGATTCATCTTCCTGAGTTCAAATCTGGTTTCAGACACTTAATAGCTGTGTGACCCTGGGCAAGTCACTTAATCTTACTTCTTTTAGTTTCCTTGTCTGTAAAATGAGCTGGAGAAGGAAATGGCAAACCACTCTAGTATCTCTTCCAAGAAGACCCCAAATGGGGTCACAAGGAGTAGGACACAACTGAAAAATGTCTGAACACACACTTTATTATTTAGAGGTTGTGAGGCAAATATTTAAAACACATTTCCTTCATACAGGTCCATGAGCTGGGAACCAAAGCATGACATTAACAAGAAAACTAAAGACATCTTTAAACTACAGAAAGATCCTCAATATTTCCTGTGCTCAAATGATGGAAAGCCTGGATTTATGTGTGTGTGTGAAATTAGGCACTGATTCTGAGGCAATTAGACACCATTGATAACTAAGTGCATTTAATATAATGAAGTGAATTTAACATTAAGTCATGATTTCCTCAAAGGAACAATTTTAAAATAAAACAACACAAAACCCACTTGCTTTCTTGGAATCAATCAGCATGTCCCATGCACAGGTAGATATTTACTAAATAAATAACATTTAGGCATAACTTACATAACTGTAGTAGTAACAACACATCTTACTTTTTATTCTAGGACCTCAAAGTCTATTGCATAAAGCAAAGTGATATTAGAAGTTCTAGATTCCTCAGTAGGTACAGAAAGCCCCCTTCTGTCCTAAGAAAGATTTTCCAAAGGGTAGAACTCAAATTAAAGCTCAAAGGAACAAACCCAAATTTTGGATATTTTTGCAATTTCCCTAAATCAGAGTTAAAGAGGCTTTTCATAGGATGATAGATTTAGAACTGGAAGGAGCTTTAGGGAACCTCAACTAGTCTCAACTCCATCATTTTACAGAGGAGGAAATGAGGCCCAGAGGGGTTGTTACCTGTCCAAGGTCACACAAGTAACAAGTGTCAGAGCTGGATTTAAACCCAGTTTCTCTGACTCCAAATCTGGCCTTCTTTCCACTATTCTACACTGTCTCCTTCAGAAATACTCATTTTGCCTCCTCCCATATCTTAATCAAAGATGTCATTTTAATGTGAGGAATCGGGAGAGGATCGATTCACAAAACACCAATTGTTCTTTAGAATCAAACACTTTAACAAGAATATGAATTCTTTTTTTTTATTTATTTTTTGGGTTTAATTTGTGGGTTTTTTTTTTTTTTGGCTAGGCAATAGGGTCAAGCGACTTGCCCAGGGTCACATAGGTAGTAAGTGTCAAGTGTCTGAGGCCGGTTTTGAACTCAGATCCTCCTGACTCCAAGGCCGGAGCTCTATCCACTGCGCCACCTAGCTCCCCAAGAATACACATTCTTGTCAAATAGTATTGGTGGTCTTCAACAAGAGTGCATTTGTGTTTGCCATTTACCTGATTCCTAATCATTATGGCTGTGATCCTTAAGTGGAAGAAAATATATTGTAATGAAGTAAAAGAAACTCCCTGCCTAGATGAATATATGCATATATGTTTGTATTACCAGCGCTACACGAGACACAAAGGAAAAGTGCAATTAATCAGCTAAATGTCAGACTTAGAGTCCTTTAAAGGGGGCAGAATTTCATATGGCCTTGATGAGGGCTGGAAGCCCTGTCCACCTTAGAATTTGTTAACTGAATGGCATAAGGGGGTTTCTTTCCACTCCATGAAGGTGCTAAAACACAGTGGAGTCTAGTTAACAGGCCAGTGTGTAAACCCTGTTGTAAGGGAGAGTGAAGGCCACCCCACATCTCGAACCTAGGGCACAGTGTGGAGACCCTAAGATTGTCCTGGGAGCAGCAGTGTCGGCATTGTGAGCCAATTAAACAAAATGCTTTCAAGAACCAAAGTCCAAAACTGTTTGCAGAACAAATTTGCTTTCTTACTGATGTGGACAGCATTTAGCCACTATGAAGCAGGAGCTGAATTAGCTTTTCCTGTGTGTTTCCTTACTTCGGAGGAGACGTAAAATGCGTTCATTTTTGGTTAATTCTGCTGGTAGTTCATTTGCCTGAAAGAAGAAATACAGTGGTTAAGAAAACTCCAACTCAGTTGCCAATGTTGCTTGTCTTGATATACCTGTCCCCAATAATCTCCCTTCCATTGATCTAAAATTCTCATGTTATTTATTTATGATGTTGTGTCTTCCTAACTCCAGTCTTGTTCAAACTGTAAACCGCATTGACTCATACTGCACATAATCTGTGGTCTACAATTCAATAACACAGATTGATTTGATTGTGTTATTGGGAGACAGTGTGGTTTGGTAGAAGGCTCCTATATAAACACTTGAAAGACCTGAGTTTCAGTTGTGGCTGTACCAGTTTACTAGTTATTTTACCTCAGGCAAATCACTAAACATCTCTAAAAAATAGTTTTCTCTTCTCTTTATTAACCTCATAGTTGTATCGGGATCATATGAGCTTACGAATAAGCATAATCTAATATTGTCAAAAGATAACAACAGGAAAGAAAGCAAAATGTTAAGCAGAATGATGTTCTGGGGCAGTTAGCTCCACAGCTCAGTGTTATAAATGGATAATTAGTGGAAGGATTATGTGACTGTACAGCTGGGGCTGATTATGCTGTATTGATAACATTCTTGCAAAGTGCATTGGTTGGGACAACCTCACAGAAGTATGCTATTATGCAGAAATGCTTTGAAAAATGTAAAGCATTAAACATTTGCAAGGTATCATTTTACGTGACATTTAAATTATAGTTTTCTATGAGTCAAGTCATTGAGGTCAATAAGCATTTATTACCTACTATGTGCCGGACACTGGGCTAATCACTGGGGAACTAAAGAAGGGCAAAAGACAGTCCCTGCTCTCAAGGAGCTCATGGTCTAATGGAGACAACATGCAAATAACTGTACAAACAGGATATTATATGTATATATACATGTATGCACACACAAATAATACATGTGCACACACATGCATGCGCGAATGCATGCATCTGCACAAAACAAATACATAATAATTTGTATGTGTATTATATATACATGCAAATATATGTATGTATATGTGCATTATATGCACACATTTTATTTCCTTTTATTATTCGAGACTCAGTCATTCACCTCGCAAATTTTGGTTAACTGAAAGTCTATATTTTATTAATATTAACCTCGCCTGGCCAAAATCTGTAGCAAGGGATAGGAAAATTTACTTAGAATCTTCAACATTCCTTAGATAAGAAGCCCAAGGAAGAAGTTAGCGGTCCCTGACTCCTGACATGTAAATACTCCTTCCTCTGCTTCTCTGTGAATCCTCTAAAAGGATCTTAATCTCCCTAGACCTTAGTTTATCTACAGAGTTTGTTTGATGAGGTTTGTTTTTTCCTTAGGCGATGAATGAGATTATGGCTGTTTGTTCAACCTAGATGGCAGGGAAAGGAAGGGAAGGGAAGGGAAAAATAGAAAGGGTTTTGGATCTATCTTCTTTTTAACTTTTTTGGCATAAGAGGAATGTACAAGATTGCCAAATATAAAAGAATTATTTCTCTGTTATTCTGACATAATTTTGCCCATAAGAAGCCTTGTCAGAACCTTCGTGGTTATTCAGGTTTTCTCTGAGGCATGAAACTATGCCTTTGCATAATAATATTACCACTATAATTTCTGCATTGTAGTCAATATATATTTGGCAGCAGTCACCCACCACATGAACTCAGAGAGGAGATATTTCTCCCATAAAAACTATATTCAGAATAGAGCACCATAATATACCTTTAACCCATTCATTAGTCAGGAAACTCAATAGAGGGTACTTAGTGACAATCAGCATGGGGGGAAAGGATTAACTCCTTGTCCTAAAGGGGAAGAGTATAGAGGAGCATGGGTTCCTCCAAACAGCCACTATTTTTAACTGTTTGTATGGGTTTCCCCAGGAAATACAGGGAACCAGGATCCATCTCTCCATTTCACTATTCTCTCTTGGTTCACCCCACCTCTCTGTGTTTCAAAAACAAAACAAAACCAAAACCAAAAAACCCCAAACAAATAGTTCTTTACAAAAAAAAAATAAATTTTTTCCGGTTCTTCCTACCTATTTGGCCACTTCTCATTTGCTCATCTCCTTTGCTGGATTTTTATATTTTTCATAGCTACTAATCGTGGACATCCATCTCCCCAAGGAACTGTCCTGGATAGTTTTCTCTTTTCTTCTATGAAGTAGGTAAATGGGGCAGTGGATAAAGTGTTGGGCATGGAGTCAGGAAGACCAGAGTTCACATCTATATTAGACACTTACTAGCTGTGTAACTCTGGGAAGTCATTTAATCTGCCTGCCTCAGTTTTCCCAACTGTAAAATGGTGATAATAATAGCACCTATCTCCCTGGATTTTTATGAGGATCAAATGAAATAATATTTATAATGCACTTAACACAGTGGCTGATACATAGTAGTTGATTAATAAATGCTTATTTCCTTCCTTCCTTCTATACTTTCTCATTTGGTGACTTAATCAGCTCCCATGGGTTCAATGATCAACTATGCAGATGCTTCCTAAATCTATGTATTTTACCCTAGTTTCTCTCCTGAGTTCTAGTCCAGGATCACAAACTACCTGTTGAACACATAGAAATTATTGTCCTGTAGGAATTTTTAACTCAGCGAGCCCAAAACAGAACCCATTATATTCTACTGCATCATTCCCTCAACCCATTCCTCTTCCAAACTTTCCTACTACGGTCAAGGGCGCCATTATCCTTCTAATCACTCAGCTTTGTTCTCACTCTCAGTCTCCACGAAAATCCAATCAATTGCCAAATCTTGTTTCTACCTTTATGTCTTTCATATATCCTCTCTCTACTCACACAGTTACTACTTTAATTCAAACCCTCATCATCTCTTCCCTGAACTGCTGCAACAGCCTCCTATTTACTAGTTGTAGGACCCTAGGTAGCTAGATGGCTCAGTGGATAAGAGCGCTGGGCTTAGAATTAGGAAGACTCATCTTTATGAGTTCAAATCTGGCCTTAGATGAGTCTTCCTGATTACAAGCCCAAGATTCTATCTACTACCGTGAAGACAATGCATCCCTTGCTTCCCAGATCTCATGCTTTGGCTGGAACCATGACTTGAGCCAACCTCTGACTCCTTTTCTTTTTTTTTTTAATTAAAAAAATTTTTTTATTAATTTATTTTGATTTATCAATAATCACTTCCATATGCTATTGAGTTTAAAATTTTTCTCCCCCTTCCTCCCCACCACCCTCCCCAAGACGGGGCACAATCTGATATAGGCTATACATTTACATTCCTATTAAACATATTTTCACATTAGTGATGTTGTAAGGAAAAATTAAAACCAATAGGAGGAACCATCAGAAAGAGGAAACAAAACTCAACAGAAGAGAAAAAAAATAGCAATTCAACTTCCATAGTTCTTTCTTTGGATGTGGATAGCATTTTCCATCACGAGGCCTCTGGAGGTGTCTTAGATCCTTGTAATGCTGGGAAGGGTTAAGTTTATCAATATTGGTCATCACACAACATAGCTGTTATTGTGTACAATGTTCTCTTGGTTCTGCTCACTTCACTCAGCATGAGAGCATACAAGTCTTTCCAGGTTTTTCTGAAGTCAGCCTGTTCATCATTTCTTATAGCACAATAGTATTCTATTACATTCATATACCACAACTTGTTCAATCATTCCCCAATTGATGGGCATCCCCTCAATTTCCAATTTTTTTGCCACCACAAAAAGAGCTGCTATGAATATTTTTGTACATGTGGGTCCTTTTCCCATTTGTATGATCTCTTTGGGATATAGCCCTAGAAGTGCTATTGCTGGGTCAAAGGGTATGCACATTTTTATAGCTCTTTGGGCATAGTTCCAAATTGCTCTCCAAAATGGTTGGATCATTTCACAACTCCACCAACAATGCATTAGTGTTCCTATTTTCCCACATCTTCTCCAACATTTATCATTTTCCTGTTTTGTCATGTTGGCCAGTCTGATAGGTGTGATGTGGTATCTGACTCCTTTTCAATCAGCAATTAGATTGTGAGTGGTTTACCATAAAGAGAAGTAAATTAATCACCTTCCTTTTCCTTAAATTCCTGGGGGTTGGGGAGAGAAGGGAGAGTCTCACTTAACTCCCTTTTCAGGTCAGTTAGGGACAGAGACTATAGCATAGGGGTCCTTGAGCAGGGCACAGTCCAAGCTCACAAGTATTATGACAGTTTGGAGAGTACATCAAAGTTTGTACTGGAGGAGTGGGAGTCACATCAGTGTCTTTTTTGGGTTGACGGGCTGAAAGAAGCTTTAGAGGAAGGCATCCTTACATCCTGGTATAGTAGCCTTGAACGTAAATGAAAAATTATTTCTTATCAATTTTATTATTTTTCTATTTCATTTAATTGTTAATACGGTAAAAAAAATTCCTTTTTTTTAAAAATTAGAAATGTATAGCACTCAAGTGATGTATCCTTCTGTGGCAGTCCCTATTATGAAATAAATAGGCTTGAGAAGGGAACCTAACTTCCCATTTGTAACATGATTTCTTGTGAAGTGGGGGGTGGGGAATGCATCCTGATTTCAAAACAAATAACTTAAATACATTTTGGGAAGATAACTAGTTCCTAAGTTGGAAACTCCCTGAATCTCCAGGGAATGTACTTGATGGAATTTGTCCCAGAAGAATGGTACTAGGCAGAAGAATTTTTAAAACTTTCTAGAGCACATCTTTGAGCATAGCTTTGCCTCCTTACCCCCAGGGCTCAGAAGCCATTCCAAGATGAAAACTATCTATTGGTGGATGGCTTTAGTCCAATATGGGCCTCTGCTCGGCCACTTCAAGGAATTAAAGACACACTAAAATGCGTTACCTTGTTTCTAAGGGCAGGGTCTGCTCCTGCTTCCAGGAGCAAGGCGACTGCTCTGATATTACCGCTGAGCACTGCAGCATGAAGAGCTGTTGTTCCATTCTAGGAGGAAAATTGTGGTATTAGTAGCAACCACAGAAGGGATGAAATCATTCAAATAGTTTAGGCATTGATTATAAACACAGAGCTCGAAGAACGAGGTTGTCAGGGCACTAACAGCAGTCTTATTTTTCCTATACTTCCCCGTCTTCCTTTTAGAGCCTTTCTAATGCCTAGGGCCTACTTCCTTGCCTCATATATGGGAACTATTCAGTAAATGCTGACAGGTCGATGGCAAAGGCAGAGATAGAAAAAACTATGAAAAGCAGACACAAGAACTGAAAAACACAGGTGTCTGGAGACATTTAGTTTAAGGGGAAATAGCCCTTCATAACTTTGTAGCTCCTGAGGAGAGGACTATTAATATAGTATCCCAAGTATCTGGTATTTATAATGATGATACCAAGTCATCAAGAAAAGGTTCATTACATTTAGTGTGCTTTAAGACGACAAGGAAAGTGCATGATAATTTTAGAAAAATTTCCATGCAAAATGTATTAATCTTTAATGAAGTTCTTAGCATTTAACACAGCTCATTCAGAGAGACAAAATTTTAATAACAGCAACGATAATAATAGCTTGTTGTTGAATCATTTCAGTTGTGTTTGACTCTTCCTGATGTCTTTTGGGGTTTTCTTGGCAGCGATACTGGAGTGGTTTGCAATTTCCTTCTCCAGCTCATTTTATAGATGAGAAAACTGAGGCAAACCAGGGTTAAGTGACTTGCCCAGGGGCACACAGCTAGTCAATATCTGAGGCAGGAATTGAACTCAGATCTTCCTGATTCCAAGGCCAGCTCTTTATCCACCGCCCCACCTAGATGTTTTACTGTTCTGTTTGCCTCCTTTGGCTATGGAGGACAGCCATAGATAATGCTTTTTTTACTTCAGATGATGAAAATGGAGGAGAAAATGTTTATAAGGGTATCTCTACCTTTCTGGAGAAGATTCATAAGCAACTGGAATCATCAGCATTGTGATTGGCTTCTTAATGAAACCGCTTGCTTTCTAATCCTTAATAGTTTGGGGTTTGTCTTTGGGGGGTTTGGATGGTCGCTTTGTCTTTCTCCTGGAAAACATGGTTTTAGAACTCCCTGGTCAATTCTTCTCTTCCCCTTCTCCCTCTCTTCTTTATGTTTATGCTGTCTTTATGTCTGCCCAAACACCAAAAGGTGTTTGTAGTTGTGCCAAATGCAGACTTCTGCCATTCTCACCTCCTTTCGTTTTGCAGATGACCTAACTTCCTTTTCAGATCTTACCTTTAAAAGGCCAAGGGTGGGAGAGAACTTGAGCAGTTCTTCGATGACATCGTTGTACCCTTTGTTGGCGGCCTTCAATAATGCCGTTGTACCATCCTTAAGGGAGCGGGAGAGAGGTAGACAGGGGCCAGTTATGAGAGGAATAGTGCATTAACTCATTGCTGGATGATAGGAGAATACAGAATGTGTCAGCATTACCCTGGCAATCAGCGAACGGTTTTTGCTAGGCAAGTTGTATAGACTTAAAATGTCTGTTCTGGACAATCTCCCAACAGATAGCCATCATTAAGCACATTAAATGCTGTTGATCTCTGACAGAACTATAGGAGGACCAAATAGATTCCTGCATCATATTCCCTTGCTTTTGGGAAATTGATGGTGATCCAGTCTGAGGAGAGAGAGACCAGCAGGGCAAGGAGGCCCCCTAGTGACATTCTTTCCAATCAGTCACTCAGTCAACAGATCAGTCAACATAGATATGTTGAATGAACCCCGTTGAATTTCATACTAACTCTGAAATACATTTCTGAGTCTATGGTTTTTTTTCATTATGTAATCAGCAAAATTTCCAAGAAATGCAAATAGATAATTAAAATGTGGAATAAATTTCCAGATTAAACTTCAAATTCCTATTTGCATTTTAACTGGGAAAAATAGTATGATTTACATTTTAGCAAATAATATTTGTTCGGTGTCTCCTTCCAAATCCGTGTATTGATAAAATGTTGTTGTCTTTGTTTATAATATGATTAGTCATTAGCATATCATTCTTATTCTGCCAATCTTGCCTGACATCACTTCATGGAAATCCTTCCATATCACCTTATATTCTTCATATTTATCATTTCATGACATTATTAAATTATATGAATACGCTATAAGCATTCCTTAATCATGGAAGCGGTTTCCAATTTTTTTTTTTAACAGAATCACTGAATCTCAGAGGTGCAAGAGATCTCAATGGTCACTTAATCCAATACCTGAACAAAAATCTCTTTTTCCACATCTTTTATTTGTCTGAAGGCCTTTAGTGCCTATCTCCTATTATGTCTCCAGTCATTCCATTCTACTTTGGAATAACCAAGCTTAAAATTTGCTCCTCTGCAACATTCATCTTTTGCTCATAGTTCCTCCCTCTTGAACCAAAGTAGAAAAATTGCTTTTTCATGGGACAGTCCTCAAAATACCTGAAGATAGCTATTATTTCCTGCAATTCAGTAAAAAACCAAAATAATAACAATAACATATAGAATAATTTATAGATAACATTAATATATTATATATTAACATATTATATAAATATAGTAATATATTTGTGTTGTATAATAATTTATAGATCATATATTAAAATGTTACTTGAATATGTTTATGTTATGTGTGTTGTATATAATTATATATAAATAGCTTATATGATAATTTATGTTGCACTTGAAGGGCAAAGTACGTTACATATGCCATCTCATTTAATAAGCACCTTCTATGTATGAGTCAATATTCAGGGTGTTGGCGATACAAAGACAAAACAGAAAAACCACCTCTGCCCTCAGGGAGCATTCATTCCATTGGGAAGACACAGCACATGAACATATATGAAACCTCCTCTTGGCTGAGTGGGGGGGGGCAGGCTCCCTGGACTTCTGTATTTTCCTACCATTTCTAGGTACCAGAGAAAAGAAGGAAACATGGAGGTGAATTGCTTAGGATATTTATCATAAATACTTGTTCTGTTGTTATAGTATAAGATGAACATTTATTTTTTTTTTAAGGAAATCAGGGTTAAGTGACTTGCCCAGGGTCACACAGCTAGGAAGTACCTGAGGCCAGATTTGAACTCAGGTCCTCCTGACTCCAGGGCCAGTGCTCTATTCACTGCACCGCTGAGCTGTCCCTAAGATGAACATTTAAAAAGAGCCATAGGGGGCAGCCAGGTGGCACAGTGGATAGAGCACTGGCCCTGGAGTCAGGAGGACCTGAGTTCAAATGTAAGCACAGACATATAACGTTCACTAGTTGTGTGCGAGTCACTTAACCCCAACTGCCTCACCAAAAAAAAAAAAAAATAAAAAAGAGCCATAGTGTTTTACAGAAAGGACCAGAGGAGGAAACTTGAGAAACAGTGTAGAAATCTGTGGAAATTACAGGCTCTCTGGTGAAGAGCCTGGGAGGTTTTGTTAAACTGACAGCTGAAACACCTTGAAGAGTCCACGAAAGCAGTGAGTGACAGTTGAAAAGGTAGCAAAGGGAAGTCTTTACAGGTCCAGGACGACGGTGGGAAGTAGATGTGATGACCAGAGACAGAGGACACCCTGTACTCTTCACTTTGGGGAGCAGATCCCTGACCAGGACAGTCTCTGGGTGCGTCTGGGAAACACCGGGTGAAGAAAGGCAAGTCGGAGGCTCAATTGATTTCAGACATCAACCAGTGCACCAGATTGCCCGTGGGAAGCTTTAAAAGTGGAACTATTAGGTTTCTTTTTTCTGTATTAGAGTTTTGTACATATTCGTTTGCATGTTCTCTCCCCCAGTAAACTCCTTGAGGGCAGGGACTGTCTTTTCACTCTTTTTGCATCTTCACACTTAGCACAGTGCCTGGCACATAGTAGGTGCTTAATAAATGTTGATTGATTAATGTAAAGAAATAATCCTTTCAGGTCACTGAAGTTGAAAAAGAGATTAGAATCTCAATTTAAATGATATTGGCTACAAGCCAAGATATTATGGATTATGATGTGGTTAAATTATATCCTTAGAGAAGAGCCCCAGAAAAGCAGAAAAATGAGTTTTCACTTGTGGCTAGAGTAATCTTTGAGTGCCATCTAGTGGCCTGATTTCATAGAGCAATTACTAGATGCCGATAGTGTGCAGAGCTGGGGTGGCTGGACCCCAGATCACCACCTAGTGGCCTACCCAGCTATGAGAAAGCTACCTCCAGTCTTTCTCTCAGAGCTATCAATAGGTGAAGGTCAGTCAGTGGATAGATTTATTAAGCACCTATTTTGTGCCAGGTACTGTGTTAAGCACTGGGGATACAAGTAAAAGTAAGACAGTCCCTGACCTCAGGTGAAACACAGATAAAGAGAATTTAAGAAGGGACAGTTGGGCCAGGGGTGGCATTTGAGTTACACTTTGCAGGAAGGTAGAATTCTAAGAGCAGGGTGTGCATTCCAGGCATGAGGGACAGTCTATGCAAAGGCAGGCAGCTCAGAGATGAATGGCAACTTCAGAGACATCTATGTCACCCAGATTGGCTGGAATGTGGTATGCATTAAAAGGGAATAAATGGAATAAGTTTGGAAAGGTAGGCTAGTGCCAGATTGTGGAAAGCTTTAAGTACCCAGCTGAGGACTTTGTGTTTTATCATATTGGCAGGATGTAGCCACTAGAGATTTTTGATCATACTTGTGCTTTAGAAAAATTATTGTGAGCTGTGTGGAGGATGGATTGCAGGATGGATGGTCTAGAAGAGGCTATTGCTTTCGTACAGATAGGCAATGAGGGATTGAATTAGGGTGGTAGCTATATCAGTGGAGAAGAGGGATGGAGGGGATGTGACAAAATTTGCTAACTTATTAGACACGGCGGGATGAGGGAGAGGAAAGAGTCCTGGTTTCCTTCAATATTTTACCCTTGTTGACTGGAAAGATGATGGTCTCCCCAACAGAAACTGAACATTTAGAAGAGGGATGGGCTTAGGGGGAGGATAATGAATTCTGCTTTGGACATGTTGAGTTTGAGATGCCAACAGATATTGAGGTGGAGATGCCCAGTAGGCATTTGGTGATGTGGGACTGAAGTCAGGAGAGAGATTAGGACTGGATGTATGGCTTTTGTAGCCATCTCATTGCGGCAGAAATGTACCATTCATTCTGGGTTCCTGCAGCTCTTAGAGATAAGATTTTATGATTTAAATTTCCTCCTCAAAGTGTCTTTCATAATGTTAATCTGAGGGATAAGACAACAATAAAACTCCTATTCATGTCATTACTGGTCTTTTTCCACTCTGATCTCCTGAAGGGTACAGAAACTTTCAGCAAAAGAGAAGAGTGGCTCCTCTGAGTCTGAGACTTAGGTCTTGCTGGTTGTTTCTTCATCTGACTGTTCAGGGCCCAGAATAGATCCATAAAAAAACAGGCTTTGAGTGATTATACTCCAAAGGACTGCCGACAAGGGCTTCTTCCCACGTCTCGGGGGAGCTGCAGAAAACCTGAATTACCCTGAATAGCTATGCAATAAATTTACCCTTCTACCAGCGCCCATGGATATTTTGGGTTTTCCTAATGGAGAACCCTCAAACTCATTAATGGCGATACAGCCAGCATGAGTGTTAAAGACAATATGATTTCAAGTGCAAGGCAGATACAGTTGTTGGAGTATCCTTGATTAAGGTAGAATTTTGCTCTATTGAGTCAAATGCTTTCTTGTTTGTTGGTAGACAGTGCACTGCTAGATAAAGGCATAAGCCAAAGACTACCCATTTCACTGGGTTCCTTAAGAATTTTTCAAGTACATAAACCGCCTAAACCTGTGTAGTGCCCAGATGTCGCAAAGGATGTAGAAATAAACAAGTTTGCCTTGTACATTTACTAAAACATTACTTGCTTGTGATATCAGAGAAAACAGGTGAGTTTTGGGAATCTGAGGTAAGGCTCGTAAAAGCTGTTGTTACACAGGAAATCCAGAAGAATATTTTAAAAGTATGATTCTCCGGTATTCTAAGGTTTATTTCGCTGTTCAAAAAAAAACCAAAACCAAAAACCAAAAAACCCAAACCATCTTTTTCTGTTGTGCTGTGTACATAGAAATGGTTTTTTTTTTTTTGGTCTTTATGTATTTAAGTTCAAAATGAATTTTTAAAAAATGGTTTGTCCTGCATTTACAGATAACATTATTTGTGTGTTGAGATGACAAGAATTGGCAATACTTACGTTCCTTGCAGCGTCCCGATCTGCCCCCCGAAGCAACATTACTCTCACTACCTCACTGTGTCCCATCTGAGATGCTATCCACAACGGAGCTGTTCCATCCTTTAGGGTGAAGAAAGGCCAACAAAGGGGTAAGTGTGTAGCAATATGTGCTCTGGCTCCTGGCTTTCAAGGGACATCAAAGCCATTTAAACTTCTGAGGATAGAAGGTACTCTCTGGGGAGTAATCCATAAACCATCCAGGAGGTTCAGGCCTCAAATAGGCTAAGCATAAAGAAGTGTGTTGACCTGAATTAACCTGACTCTTGGACTTTCTCTACCTTGTCTCCTCTTGAGCTCCCCAACCCCTAACTTCCTTTTATTTGCTGTCTTCTCCTGTTAGAATACAGGCTCCTTTAGGGCCAGGGACTGTTTCTGTTTGTGTTTGTATTTCTTGGGCTTAGCACAGCACTTGATATTTAGTAATTGCTTAATAAATGCTTGTTGATTTGTACAGATCGCCCCCACCCCACCCCCCTTAGGTCCTGGGATCATAGATCTGCAGCAAAGGGATCTCAGAGATCCCCTATCAATCCTCTCACTGTTCAGATGAGAAAATGGAAGCTGATTTTCCCCAGGCTGCAGCATAACATGATGAGGGATTTGAACACAGATCTTCCAATCCCAGAGCCAGAGTTCTTTCCGTCTGACTATGTAATTTACTTAATTTGTATAATTTGCCTACCACAGGCTGGGTTTTCGTAGAGTAGGAAAATGTGTTCTCACCCTGCCACTCTCCCAACCCTAGGGCAGGAGAAGGGGTTTCCTTTTTCCACAGATAAATCAGGCTTGCCCATTTGTGTTAGGGAATGTGCCTCTTGTCACATCTTAAAGGTCTTTCTCCAGCAGAGGGTGCCAGGGACTAATTTTCATGATAGACAAGGCCTGAGCCAGCGTGGTAAAAAATTTTCATCTAACATAGAGTTACTTGAACAATGGGTGGACATTTGCCCTGTGGCCATCCTAATTCTGTTTCAGAGGGACAAGGCAACCTCTGGCTGAGGCAATGTTTTTTACAATCCTAAGAAGTCATTAGAAGGGGGCAGCAACCTCTGAATGGAAACACTGGCTGGTTGATGGTCAGCTATCCTAATTTGTCATAATATATAACAGCTTTAGTTGGGTTCATGCCTGGGTGTGCACACGCACACACACAAACACACACACACACATATACACTCTCATATTTGTTGTTGTTGTTCAGTCTTTTCCAATTCTTTGTGACCCCATTTGGGGTTTTCTTGGCAAAGATACTGGAGTGGGTTGCCATTTCCCTCTCCAGCTCATCTTACAGATGAGTAAACTGAGGCAAACAGGGTGAAGTGACTTCCCCAGAGTCACACAGCTAGTAAGTGTCTGAGGCCAGATTTGAACTCAGGAGAAGATGAATCTTCTTGATTCAAGAAGCGCAGTGTTTTAACCACTGTGCCACCTCACTCACATACTTTAGTTTTTAACCATCAGCTTCTGATTCCTAAAGGAAGATTTTGCTATAGCCAACACTATGATATGCCCATAGTAGCTGTTGTTATTCCAGATTTGTGATTTCATCAGTTTAGAGAGTTTCTAGTAAGAAAATTCCCTGTACTAATTGCTAGGTGACCACCCATAGAGCCCTGGGCCTAGAGTCAGTGAGACCAGAGTTCAAATTCGACCAGTTACTAGCTGTGTGTCCCAGGCAAGTCACTTAACCACCATCTGTCTTAGTTTCCTCAACCATAAAATGGAGATAATAACAGCACCTACGTCTCATGGTTGTGAGGGTCAAATGAGCTAATATTTGTACCGCACTTAGTGCCTGGTATACAGCAGTTGCTTAATAATTGCTTATTCCTTTCCTCCTTCTCTATCAATTCAGACCAGTAGCTGTTCTGCAACTTTTCTGGTCTTGGACAGTTGTCGAGTACAATGAGAGGTTAAGATACTTGCTTAGGGTCACACAGCCAGAATGTGGTAAAGGTGGAATCTGAACCTGGACCATCCTTACTCTGAAATCCACTTTCTATCCACAATGCCAGAGGTATCAGACACGGACCCACAGGCCCTGCCTGCAACACTCCCCAGTGCCTTCAATCAGATGAAAACATCATTGGGAAACAGTTAACATAAAAAGTAAAAATATAACAAAACATAGATAACATTTAAAACTTAGCCAATATGCAGCCTGAAGAGATTCTTATGTATGGATTAGTGATTCCCACTTCTAATTTGAATTGGCCATCACTGCATTACACCATATTAACTTCCTCTATATTTAACCTTCATAAAGTAATATCCCCTAGAAAAGCTTTGGAATGTCAACATTGCCCAAGTCACTCAACTAATGAATTTTTTTGTTTGTTTGTTTTCTTTGCTAGGCAATGAGGTTAAGTGCCCAGGGTCACACAGCTAGTAAGTGGTCAAGTGTCTGAGGCCAGATTTGAACGCAGGTCCTTCCTGACTCCAGGATTGGGGCTCTATCTACTGCGCCACCTAGCTGCCCCTAATGAATTCTTTTTTGAGGCATTTGGGGTTAGGTGACCTAACCAGGGTCACGTAGCTAGTAAGTACCTGAGGCTGTATTTGAATTCAGGTCCTTCTGATTCCAGGATTAGTGCTTTATCTGCTGCACCACCTTGCTGCCCCTTAGTTAATAAATTTTTAAAGTTGCTGCAAGAAACTCGAGCTCCCTCAAGCCTTGGAAAACAAGACAGCTGCCCCCCCCAATATTAACATAGTTAAAAATAACTTCTGTTTACATAGCACTATATAAATATTTTCACATATATTATCTCATAATAGCTGTGCCATAGCTGTGGCAAGTAGACAGCACAGGTATCCCTTATCTTGCAGATGAGAAGACTGGGGTCTAGTTTATTCAGGGATCTGTCCAAGGTCACACAACTTCTTACTGGCAGGGCAAAGCCTAGGACTCAGGTCCTCCAACTCCTGGTCTGAGGCTTGGCCTGTGACAACATGCTTCCTCTTAATTAAAAGAAGGAATTCATATATTTTGCTTGCAAATACAAAGATGGTGCAAACACACTGGAAACTTAGAAGACAGGGCTTAAGTGGGACCAGAACAAGGATTTTGTTAGTGTGGCAGATAGTACTAGCTTAATCCTGTAGGAAAGAAATATTGCCTCTTTGGATCCTTCTATGGAAAGTCACAAGGAAATCCTTACAGAACCCCAAGCTGTCTCTAAACAATCACTACCAACCAACCAACACACACACACACACACACACACATCCTTTCCTTTTTCCTGTCCTTTGCTGAGGTGGTGGTTGTGGTTAGAGCCACTGTAGGATCTTGGAATTCTTAATAATAGACAAGATCTACATAGTATTATAAAGTTTGCAAAAGGTTTTATGTATATTATCTAATTTGAAGGTCACAACAATCCTGTGAGGTAGGTAGGATTATTATCCCCATTTTATAGATGGGAACACTGAGGCTAAGAGAGGTTAAATGACTTCCTCAGGGTCACACAGTTTGGAAATGTCTAAAATTGGATTTGAACTCAGGTCTTCCTGGCACCAAGTTCAGTGTTCTACATACTCTGCCATGTTCCTTCAAGTTCTTGCTGGAGAAGCACTGGCTACCATGCGGACAAGGACAATTTGTCATTGGTCTAAATCCCAAGAGAAATATTTGAAACCAGATAGTTCTAACCGGAGAGTGTTTTATTAAATTAGATGGAGAAGTGGGGTGTCATTTAGTTATTTGTTTCAGATGCCCATCAAACTCTTTGCTTTATTTGTTCAATTAATTCTGGATGAATTTTACTCTGTGCAAGATGTTTTCTTGTTTGGGAGGGATAGTATATTAGACTGACTAGCTAAAACATTGGTAGGGATTAGTTAATCTGGTGAACTCACTGCCACCCAGTGTCATCTAGTTTTAGAATAGGAACCTAAAGGTACAGGACATAGGACAAGTAATTTTGACAGGGGGCAGTAGGTGAGTAATTTAGGGACTGAAAGATGCCCCAGTGGGAGATCTTGGGCAGATAGAATGAGGTCACTGGGAATTGACGGAGGAAGTCAAAAGGGTCCTGAAAGGAGGGGCAAAAATACATCAAAATCAAATTTCATCTATTTCATAATTTTGCCTAGAACTGGCTTGCCTTCTCAGACCTAAGTCACTGCATGAAATCAAGTTTTGTTTTTTGAGGGCCACAGCTGCATCAAATATTGCTGACTGCCATTTTTCATGGTCCATTTTCCATCACCTGGCCTCTTATTATCTAGGCTTTTCAGTGCCTCATACTGATCCTAAGATTTGCTGCCTCCTTTTCTTTAGACATGTTGTTCTCTTGGTCTCAAATGTCACTGCTACTGTGCCCACAATATATGTCTATTTAAATCCTATCCATTTTTCAAGATCCAGTTCAAATGCCACCTACTCCCCGAAGCCTTTCCTGATCCTCCCAGTCATAAATGAGCTTCCATCCTTGACCCTAGAACAACTTCACATTGATTGCTTTTAAATTTCCTACTGTTAGCTTAGGGGTCCAGGGGTGGGGAACCTGTGGCCTCAAGGTCACAAGTGACCCCCTAGGTCCTCAAGTACGGCCCTTTGACTGAATCCAAACTTCACAGAACAAATCCCCTTAATAAAAATACTTTTTTTAGGCCCATCGGTTCATCATCTTGAATTCTGATTCTGTTGTCCAATGAGCTACCTGTCTCTTTGGACTCTGTGACAAAAGCAAATAAGTATGCTATTAATCTCTTAATCTAAGTCATTGATTAACAAATATTGAGTAGAGGAGGGCCAGTGATGAAGATTTCTAGTTAGACACTAGACATGTTTTCCACAGTGACCTACTATTTAGCATTCTTTGGGTAGGATTGTTCAACCAGTTCTGAGTCCAAATAATTATACTATTATCCAATCTAACTTCATCTTATCCATAAGCATAGCTTTTCAAAATCTGGATGCCCTTGTATATGCAGCACTTTCTTCATCTACCAGTCCAGGAACACTGTCAAAAAACAAAGTTATGTTAACCTGCATGATTTATTCCTAGTAAATCTCTGCTGGGAATCACCCCTTCTCTTTCTAGGTGTTCAAATACTATTCATTTCATAGGAACATAGGAGTTAGAGCCAGAAGAGACCTCAGGTCATCTTGTCCAGTGGTGTCAAATTCAAATAGAAAGAGATCCCTGAGGGTTGTCTATTGACTTAGAAAACCACAAATTAACATTATCTATATTGAATAGTATTTTATTTATTTTATTAAACATTTTCCAATTAGATTTGAACCCAGTTCAGGCCTTACTTTGGGAGTGTTTTCAGAAGCTTGCAGCCTGTAGGTTGAGCACTTGATATCTCTGTGTCAAATAAATAACAACTAGATTTTAGTTCAACCTCCCTCATTTTACAGATGAAGAAATTGAGAACTTATGAAGTTAAACGAGTTGCTTGAGGTCACAGGGATAGTAAGGACTAAGTAGCAGAGTTGGGATTTAAACATGGGTTGACCTCTGACCCAAAATCCATTGGTCTTTTCACTTTTCCATTCTCTCTTTCTCTCTTTAGCTCTCTCTCTCTTCCTCCTCTTCCTCATTTCCTCCCTCCTTCTTTTTCTCTGTCTCTCTCTCTCCATCCCTCTCTCCCTTCTTCTCTCTCTCTCCTCCTCCTCCTCCCTTCCTCCCTCCATCTCAGTCTGTCTGTCTCTTTTCTCTCTCTGTCCCTCCTTTCTTCTCTCCTTCTTTCCATCTCTCTCTCTCTCTCTCATATAAATGCAAAGCCAAGGTTAGGACTCAGATCCTCTGATTATAAATCCAGGTTTCTTCCCCTGGCAACATGCAGCTTCTCTTTAATAATCTGTTCTAGATGTTTTTCAGCAAATATTAATTGAACACTGAATATATCCCAGGCACTGGGTTTTATTTTGCCTGATATCAATGTCGAGCTTTCCAAACTATAGTTTGTGGCACCTCCCTTCTTTTCCTTTTGGGAAACTATGACACTATGTGCTGATCTCCAATTCTTCATTCTTCCTCAAAGATTACTGATAGTGGTACAACAGTCCCAGCTGCAAGTTATTTTGGGGCAGGGGTGGGAAACTTGCTGCTTCAAGGTCCTTATTTGGGGCCTTTGGACTGAGTCCAAGTTTTACAGAACAAATCCTTTTATTGAGGGGATTTGTTCTGTGAAGTTTGGAATCAGTCAAAGGGCTGCACTTAAGGACCTAGAGGTCCACCTATGTTCTTGGGGCTGCAAGGTTGCTCACCTCAGGTGTAATTCATATAGGCCAAGAAATTTAAACTTATTTGGAATGTGGGTTCGGAACATGGGTTCTTAACTTGAGGTCTGTGAATTTGTTTTTTTCTTAAATATTTTAATAACCTTATTTCATTATAATCGGCTTCCTTTATAGTCCTATGCAGTTTATTTCTAAACATTTTTATGTGTTTTAAAAACATTATTTGGAGATTTGGAGAAGGCATCCACAGACTTCACTATATTGCCAAGGGGGTCCATGACACTAAAAAGGTTAAGAACCTAACTTGGTTCAGAAGTTCTAGGTGCTTTCTTACACCTATCTCCATTCAATTCCTTCTTTTTTTGAAGAAAAGATTTATTGCAAACCTTACTGAAATATCAATATATTCAATTAAACTTGCTTAGTAACCATTTATATTTAAATAAAAGAATTTCAATGTATAAAATATTACAACTTTTCAGTCACTCCCTTTAAGAATTTAAGAGAATTGTGTCGCTTTACTTTTCCTTTTATGCCACTACAATTAGTGTGGGTTATGTCTTTATAGTTCTGCTTCTTTGACTTTGCATTATTTCATTAAGTTCCTTACTTATTTTTTATTTCTCATAATTGTTCATCTTAATTGCATTAATGTTCTACAATTTATTTAAATGTTTAGGTTGTTTTTATTTGTTGTTTTTTTTTTGTCTTTTGCAATTTTAAACACTGCTATAAAAAATCTTTAAAGAATACCCCCCCACACACATCTTTTTGATAACTTTTGAGATTTATTCCTAATGATGGAAATCGTAGGAGTCAATGGACATGATTTTTTTTTATTACTTCCCTGTAATACTTCCATGTTCAATATTACTTTCCCAAAAAATTCTACTATTTTATAGTTCTACCAGCAAAGAATGAATAAATCTTTTAGCTTACAATGCTGTAGCACTGAATTTCATTGCTTTTCATTATTTTTGCCAATTCAATGAGTGTGAGCTGCTGCCTCAATTTTCTCTTAATGTTATTTGTTCTACCCTTTCACGGCTGAAGATCTCTGGCAGAAAAAGCAGGGTGAGCCTTAGGGATCCTAAAACAAGCTCTGGTGTCAGTGAAAGGGCTGTCTTTTTGCTGAAGGGTTGGGCTGGGTGAAGGCCACCTGAATCGGCCTGTGTTTATTCAGGTCCATGGGCTAACATTACCTCACAGTCGCCTCCATTTATTTGAACAGGAGGTGACAGAGTGCGCACTCCACCTTCAGACACCAAACACCTGAGCTATTTTAAAATATTGAACTGTGAGGTTAGCTGGATTTCAGAGGGAAAATGGTCAGCACAAAGCAAACAGGACAAGCAAAGGTAGAGTCAACCATTAACTTGAACTCTTAAAGACAGAAGGCTGACTAGCTATCTTAGGCATGAGGTTTCCCAGCACTGCCCTGGGCCTCCTTACAATGCTGTTGAATGAACGTGGCCAATTCGAGAACTAGGGATGAACATTACCTGCCTTGGTTGGTTGACTTTTGCTCCTGAAGATAACAATAATCTAATCACATCCAAGTAACCCCCCTGGGCTGCGAGGAAGAGTGCAGTAGCTCCATCCTGGAAAACACCAAATGGAGGGAAAAAATGAACTGCCATTCAAATGTATTTTAAAAGAAACTAGATTTGGAAAAAATGTACAAAATTAGCAGAATTTAAAGTTTTTTTTTGTAAGTTTAAAACAAGACCTCTAGAAAAAATATGTGTAGGGAACAACAGGGAGAAACTCTTTTTATGAGTACATCTCCACACCCTTCTCTTCCACCTATATTCTTCTTTTTTTTTAAATTCTATTTTCTTTTCTTTTCAGGTCTATATTCTCTCCTGACTACCTCTTCCTCTCTTCCCCCATTGAGAAAGCAAGAAAAAACAAAATCAATACAAAATGCATAGTTAAGCAAAACAGATGACCACATTGGCCACGCTGGGAAAAAACCCAACCCAATCTATGCTCCAATCCCACACTCTGAATCCATCACATCTTTGTCTGAAGGTGAGTAGTTTGCCTAGCATGAGTCTGCTGGAACTGTGCTGCCTCTTTTCTTAGGAAGTCACCCGGAGTACTGAGAGATTAAATAACTTATCTTGGGTCACATAGCCAGTATGTCAGAGGCATGACTTAAACCCAGGTCTTTCTGACTCTGAGGTCCTCATATGCTATACCATGATGCTTCTTGGGATTAAACTCTGAGGAATGTGAAGAAAGTATTTCATGCGACTCAGCAGCCCTGTAATTTCTATTTCTTAGACCTTTGTTATTGCTGTTCAGTTGTGTCCAACTCTCCATGATGCCATTTGGGGTTTTCTTGGCAAAGATACTGGAATACTTTGCCATTTCCTTCTCCAGCTTATTTTACAGATGAGTAAACTGAGGCAAACAGGGTTAAGTGATTTGCCCAGGGTCACACAGGTAGTAAGTAAGTGTCTGAGGCCTGATTTGAACTCAGGTGTTCCTGACTCCAGGCCAGACAGTGCTCTATCTACAGTGTCATCTAGCTGCCCCTACTTCATAATAATAATGGTCCAAGGGTCGGGGGTGGGGGGAGTCTTTTCAGCCTTTTGTAGTCTGGCATGGTTAAATATTGTTATAAATACCTTTTTTGTGGGTTTTAATGAATGGAGCAAGATTTCCAATTATATTTTTTTCCCATTTGTCTTCCTACCCCTGGCATTAAAGGATGAAATGTGATGCTTTTGAAATAATTCCTCTTCTAGGATGTGTTTGAAGTCACTCCTTCATGGAGCACATCTGTCCCACAGACATCTACTACCTATGAACTCAATTAAGCAATATTATCTGCAAAAACAGAACATGTGCTTATTTCTATTTCCATTTCATTATCATTTGTAATTGAGTATATGTAGCTTTGGGGCATTTTTTTCATCCTTGATCAAGGCTGGTGAAATGTTATGTTATATCTAGTGGACAATATGATTCACTTGATTACAGGTACTTTATTTCCTTCTTCTCCAGTTAGGTCTGATGGGAGTGATCTTTGTTATTTTTAGACCACAGTGGAAAATCCTAGCTGGTTTTTGCCAGGGCTGCTGGAAAAGACAAGCCAATCCGGCTAATGATGGTGCCTCAGGTTAGGAAAGGAGCCACTCGTGCACACCAATAAATACCAAGCACACTTCTTTGCTAGTCTCAGCCAGGTGCCTCATGCAGAGGGTACTATTGTGTTTCCAAAGGGTGTCAGCTGAGTTGGCAGTCTGGGCAATACTCGACATGAAATTAAAAAAAATTAATTTAACAGATTGCACAGATTTTTTAAAAACAGATGCTTCATGTGGGAGCTAAAACTTCAGATGCCGATTTGTGCTTTTCTCTAAGCTGGCTTGCATGCCACTGACAGCTGCTCATTCTCTGACAATTCTCTAAGAGGTGCTTTCCAGGGGCAGCTAGGTGGCGCAGTAGATAGAACACCGGCCCTGAAGTCAGGAGTACCTGAGTTCAAATCTGGCCTCAGACCAAACACTTGACACTTACTATCTGTGTGACCCTGGGCAAGTCACTTAACCCCAATTGCCTTAAAAAAATTGTTTTCTACACCCCATTGATTTCTACCATGCATGGCCCTTTCAGTTCACAGAAAGTCTAGGGTCTACGTGACCTTTCTTTTTCTACACTTTAACTGCTTTGGATGCGTTTACTAGATCATCTGGCCAAGGGTCATAGGAGGGGCAGGGCCATAAAGTAAATGGAACATATGATGGCGCTGATGTCACTGCTGGGCATGGAGTTTCTTGAGTCATCTTAAATACTAATCCCCTTCTGGACTATTGTGAAGATCGAGTGAGATAACAGGCATGAAGCACTATGGGAATGCGAGGTCTAAGCTATAATGGGAGTTTAACAAATGGGAATAGGCTCCCAGACATCTGTTTTTCTCTAATAATAGGTGACATTATACACGTGTGTGTGTGTGTGTGTATGTGTGTGTGTGTGTGTGCGCGTATGAAGGGCAACTAAGGTGTCTCAGTGGATGGAGCACTGGGCTCAGAACCAGGAAGACTCATCTTCCTGAGTTCAAATCCAGCCTCAGACACTTACTAGCTGGGTACCTCTGGGCAAGTCATTTAACTCTGTTTGCCTCAGCTCCCCATCTGTAAAATGGATTGGAGGAGGAAATGGCAAACCATTCCAGCACCCTTGCCAAGAAAATCCCAAAGGGGGGTCACAAGGAGTTGAACATGATTGAAACAACGCAACAACAAAATATATGTATGTATATATTTATTATTTATTAATATGTATGTTTATATACACATATAGAAACATGTATATGTATATATGTACATGTATATGTATGTTATGAGAACCAGATAAAAATACATAAAATGCTATTTAAATGAGGGTTGTTTTTATTATTATTAATCATTATTTAATTAATTATTATTTATTTATAATAATTATTATTTATTATAATTATTATAAATTCATTATTATTATTATTAATGTGACACTAATGCCAAAATCATCACTCATAGGCCTTGCCTGAAAGGGGGCAGAATCAGCACACATGACCTCTGCCTTTGAAATGCCCCCCACTAAGTGGCGCTACAGTCATCAGAATCTTCAGGCCTTCCACCAATACCTTAGTCATTCCATCTGCATTCATAGAATATCCATGATACTGTGATAGGTGTATATGGGGGCAGACGAGGGTGGGGGATAATATTAAAGAACCCTTTAATGTATCAACCCTTATGTAACCTATAGTTTTTAAGGTGTTCCAAGGTGCAAGTAGAATGTGATCAAATGGAAAAAATGCATATCTAACTAATACATCTTCCCCCATATATACACAGGAAAACTGAATGTAAAGTCAAGAGGTCTAGTTGCAGGATAACATAACATCCAGGGCATAAATAGCTAAAAACCAGCAGTTGAAGGGTTAATTTTGATTTCTCTACTCATTCCCCAAGAGACCCTGGGTAAGTCACTTGATTGTGTTGCAGTTGTAGGACATTTTAACTTTCAAAAAATACTTCATTTCAAAAATATACTTTAACTTTTATTTTAAAATTTAATCTAAAAATACTTTCTCCTTTAATTTTTAAAAATTACATAACCTACCTGTAATTTTTTGTTGTGGTTGGAAGAATCTTTTTCTAACTACTATAATTAAATTATTAATTTTCTCATGCTACCACCTACAAAATAAAATCATAGTTATACTATACCCTGTAGGTTGCTGCTGTGATTAATCAATGAGTAGAGCCCTTGGGTAATGGTCTATCTGCCAATTGGCAGAAAGCTGTCCACCCTAGCAGCAGATGCATTTCAAAGGCAACTATGGGCTGCCTTTGCTTCAGCTGCATCTCCTTCCCCTGACTCTATTTCTCTCCCAGATAGCAGCTTAGCTACTCTTCTTGTCTATTATATTTTAAGTTTTTTGAAAGCAGGATTTTTTAATTTTTAATTTTTCTTTACTTTCCATCCCTGGGTCCTCACTGCAGGGCCTTGGACAGGGTAGATGCTTTATGTTTGCTGAAAAGAACTGTCCCACGTCACAGGCATGTAAAGAAAACATTTGGTTAATTCTTCATCAGTTCCATATGCTGTGTTGGGTGAGCTGTCACATAATGAAGATGTATTGCATGGTAGGCTGTAGGATCTGCCATTTTATGCATTAAGTGAAACGACATATGTGTAAATAGGTTCAAAATTACAGAACCAAGATCAGTACTGTTTTCCTGTAGCCAAAGTTACTATCTAATTCAATTATATCGCATCTCCTGACTCTGTAAACATTACCCAGTCTAAAAACTTACAGTTAATTAAAATATGGAATAAAAGCAGATTTGGGTTTTGTGTGTGTGTGTTTGTTTTTTGAGAGGCAATTGCTGGCAGTTGAGATAATATTGCTGAGATCGTGTGTGGCAAGGGAACTGAAAACTGCATATTTAATGTCCGTTGGGAACAAACTCACATAAAGTTGATCATGAATGTTGGCACCGTACTTCAATAAGGTCTCCACCACTCGCATGTGGCCGTACTGACTAGCAGCCAACAATGCAGTGCCGCCATCCTGGAGACAAGAAGAAAGTAATGCTTTAGAGACCATGGGCACAGACTTTTGCAAGACATATTTTTCACATGCCCAAGAGGTGAAGAAAATAATTCCCCAAAAGATAAATACTTCTACCCCCTTCTCTCATCTACTCTTCCCACTTTTTCTTGACAATAATGACATAACTTATTTGTTACTGTTTTATATGTTTGGAGGCTCCAATAGAAAGATCTACACTCTGCCTGTTTAAATAATGTAATGTCATTTAAAATTTTCTTCTATTTGTTGAGAATGGAAACTACACCGTCTCCTAAGCTAGAAAAACCAAACAGAACAAAAAGGATATGTCAATACACTAGTCTGGCATTTTAAGATTCATGCGTGGTGTGATTTGAACCTTAGAGTACCACCTTAGGACACAAGGAACTCTCCATTTAAAGTGCCACAGGAGTGTAGAAAAGGATAGGGTCACCATAAATTTGAGTTTGTAGGAACTACTTCTGGGGTCTCCCGAGGAATTTCTAGGATTTTTAGTCTATCCTTGATGTCCTTTGGGCATTGTATTGTTTATTATGCACTGTATTTGGGGTATTGCCTTTTACACATACACTTGTACCCACCTGGAAGTGAAGGGGAAAATCATGGGTTTGCAATAGATTTTGGAAAAGAAACAAAAATCACAGAAAAATCTTTCTGAAATTTATCTGGCCTAGGGTTAGGCTTTTTTTTTTTTTTTTTTTTTTTTTTTGGATAGGCAATTGGAGTTAAATGACTTGACCAGGGTCACATAGGTAGTAAGTGACTGAGGTCAGATTTAAACTTGGGTCCTCCTGACTCCCAAGCTAGTGTTCTATCCATTGTACCACTTTGCTGCCCCTAGGGTTAGACATTTTGAGAGAGAAGAAAAGAAAAACCACCTCATTATCCAAAAATTTAAAAATGCTTAGCAATGGGGAAAACTCAAACATTCCCAAGGTTTTTCCCTGGACGAGTATTCCAATTGGAGACAATTCCTAAGAATTTCTGTTTATAATCAGGTCAGAAATAAGCTAACACAATTGTGAAACTCCCATGTCTCTCCAAGACCGTCTTCCTAATTCAGGGACAAAAGTTTCATCCCATAAATTGTCTTCAACACTAAAATTTTTTTATTTTATTTTGATTCATTCTTGCTTTGATTTGTTCTTGGTTTCTTTGGCCACATGGGACAAAATAAAAGTTAAGGATTAGGCATAAGAATAGCCATGGCCCCTTTTTTAAGTATCCCTGGTAACTGTATGCTATGTTTTAATTAAGACATTGGCTCTTAAAGGAGCCTGGAGACATTTTGTAGACCAAACTTCATGCCTCAGAAATACCCACATTGAAATTATTTCCCCAGGACCACATTAAAGTTTCTGATCATTCTAGCCAGAGAATTGGGAATAAACTAGAGGGAAAAAATGTAGATGTATTAGGAAAGTTATAGACCCGCCATCCAAGTACCAACCCTTTAAAATAAAACATAACACAAAAGGAAACATTATGATTTGTAGACATAATTCTCCAAAATGTGGAACCCATAATAATTGCTCTCTCACATATACCCACAAAATAAACATTTCTTTGCATTGACATACTATATATTTTATATATATTGACGTACCTGTGAACATACTGTTGCCCCCCAACAGAATGTAAGAACTTTGAGGGCAGGCACTGTTTCATTTTTTTTTTTTTTGCCTTTGCCTCCCTAGCACCTAGTCCAGTACACGGCACATAGTAAGCACTTAATACTTGACTTAAAATTCAGCCTCAGACACTTACTAGCTTGTGACCTTGGGCAAGTCGCTTAACTTTGCTAGCCTCAGTTTCCTCAATGGTAAAATGGGGATTAGAATAACACCCATCTCATAGAGTTGTTGTAAGGTACCAAATGAGATTATATTTGTGAAGTGCTTAGCACATAGTAGGTGATATGTAAATGATAGCTATTCTTTTTTTTTTTTAACTAGGCAATGGAGTTAAGTAACTTGCCCAGGATCACATAGCTAGTAAGTGTCAAATGTCTGAGGTCAGATTTGAACTCAGGTCCTCCTGACTCCAGGGTCAGTGCTCTATCCATTGCACTACCTAGTTGCCCTCATTGATAGATATTCTTATCATCATTATTATTATTTGAATTGATTTTTTGTGATTAGGACTGAATTATTGGCTCCGGAGCTAGAGAAACCTTGGAGATTATCTGGCACAACACAACTATTTTTTGGAAGGAGTTCAAGTTCAGAGAGGTTAAAGGGTCTTGTCTAAGGTTGTAGCTAGTAACTGGCTGAGACAGGAAGGACTTGAACCCAGATCTTCCGAGTCTTTTAACTATAATTCCAGGGGTCTGTGTACCTACCTAAAAAATATTTGAAAGAGAAAACTACACTCACATTTTAGATCAAGAGGAAATACAAGGTGGCCTCAGGCACTTGACACTTACTAGCTGTGTGACCCTGGGCAAGTCATTTAACCCCGATTGCCTCACCCCCCCCCCCCAAAAAAGGAAGCACAAGGCATTGGTTCTGAAATTTTTTTTAAGGCAATCAGAGTTAAATGAGCTGCCCAGGACCACACAGCTAGTAAGTGTCTGAGGCCATATTTGAACTCAGGCCCTTCTGATTCCAATGACAGTGTTCTATCCACTGGGTCACCTAGCTGCCTTGGTCCTGAAATATTCTTATAGGATCTGAAAGCAAAAAAAAAAGTTCTCTTACTTTGGTTCTAAATTCAGTGGAAGCTCCAAATTCAAAGAGAAATCTCACCACATCGTTGTGGCCTTGTTGTGCGGCAAAGAAGAGAGCCGTTGTACCTGACTGGGAGGAAGAGAGAGAGGCTGGTTTAAAAGCAGGCATTTTGTTCCATTTTGTGTGGAAAAAAAAAAAAAGAACTTGGAACGATAAATTTTTGAATCTAGGTTTGGAGGTAGCATATTCCTTGGATCACTAGGTAGGCTAAGTAGGGCTTGGGAATTTAAATTCTATTCCACTAATGACATGATTAACTTAGGGAAGAATTCAGGCAATCAGTGCTAGAAATGAGGAAAAGGCTATATTCATAAGAATCAAGATCCATCCTATTTTACACAGGTGAAATACCAGAGAAAATCTGTTTTTGACTTCCACACTGCCCACAGCATGCTCAAATATACTGCCATCTCATCTCCTAGCACCCAACTTCACCAGATTTTTTTTTGATGTGTCTGCATGAAAAGTGGCAGCAAAGTCTTTGCATACTGATCAAAAAATGCCACCCCACTCATAAACATGCATCTGACAAATGTTTTTGATTATGCAAATGTGCTTAAATTCTGCTACGTAAGCTCTGGGAAAGCAAACGACATACTCTTCAAAGACCAAGAGGAAAATCCTTCTGTATACTTTAAAGGTGGAAGGAGATGATTCAGATGGGTGGTGTCTCAGAAAAGCATGCTTTAGACACTAATTATGAATTCAGAAGAACTCTGGCTTTTAAGGGAGGAAGATATAATGAAGAGAGGCAGGGCACAGCAGCAGAACTGCCCTGGCCAAAGTGCTTCCTTTGTAAAATCTATGCCACGTCACTAGATCATATCATTCAGTCCCAGGGATGGCTCTGTGCAAATTAGATCTACAGTCAGAAGGGACCTCATCTAGAACAACCCCCACACTTCATTTTATAGATGAAAAAATTGACACGAGGGGAGGAGGTTAAGTTACTTGTCTAAGGTCATAACAGGTAGTAAGCATCGGAGGTAGGGTTATGGACCCAGATTCTCTGATCCAGGACCAGGGATCCTTCTGCTGTACCACATTGCCTTTCCTTCCTTTTTGTTTACTTAAAAGGAAGGAGGCTTCCTCCTTTCCACCTGTAGAAAGCCATCGGGTCTGCCTCATCCTTGTTTCCTGAGAGTCTGTAATCTCCCCAATAATGGAGAGAGCTGGATCCCATAAACTAAAGATAGGGACTGGTTTTTGGAATGGCAAGCTTCTCACTGTCTTGATGTATGTGCAATGGAGGAAGATGAGTATATTTTTATGTTGGACATGCTTGAGAGTCACTTGTACCAATGCAGTGTCTCCTTCATGGCTAGCACTTAATCAACATTTGTTATAGAATTGGAAAGGACTAAGTTCTATATGCATTTCCTTGTTACATTAATAACCACAGTCCCCGGGGCAGTTAGGTGGGGCAGTTAGGTGGCGCAGTGGATAGAGCACCGGCCCTGAAGTCAGGAGGACCTGAGTTCAAATCTGGCCTCAGACCAAACACTTGACACTTACTAGCTGTGTGACCCTGGGCAAGTCACTTAACCCCAATTGCCTAAAAAAAAAAATAACCATAGTCCTGATTACTTCATGTTAGTTTGAGTAAATGTCCCGATGTTTAAATGACTGGTCATTATATTAAAGTAATGATGTATAGAAAAAAAAAGTCAGCCCCCACTTTAGAGAGTATGGGACAAGACACAACTAATTGTATTCACTTTTCTCTTACTGAAATAAAGGGCTTCATGCCATCACTTTGATTTAGCTCTTCTATCTGTGCTCCTCCATCAGCCAAGATTTTTGCAAGTTCTCAATAAACAACAACTCTGTTAGGACCATTAGTTTTTAGTTTGGTGTCCACACCAGGCTATAAGTCTAGACAGCCCACTAAATAAAGGGATGGCAGCAACTTATGCAGCAAAGCAAATAGATGACCTAGTATTGCAAAATATTAAGGTTGGTCCAAGACAGAATAAGATGCCAAATCACTTTAGTAACAATACCCACCAAACACTAAAATAGGTCGGGGAAAGGACTTTCCTTTGGCGATGGTAGCTCAATAGGCTCAGACTATACCATGCATTAACTTGGATTCTTGGAGAATTCAGCGTCTGCATCATACTGCATTGAGCCACAGGGTTTCCCCCGGAATAGGTGTGTTTTGGACAACTCCGTAAGTGTTAATGGGGGCATATGCTCAAAGCACAGAGTCTTTACCATTCTAAGGATTTTAATTGAATAATAAGATCTAAACAAACAGCCAAGCAGCAAACCACAGGGAAACTTGCTGGCCGGAAACCAAAAGCAGGTTGCTTTTTCCTCGCCCACCCTCTTAAGTTCTTTTGAATTATTGTTAAACGATTCCAATGCTTGTTGGAAATGCTTCTCAGGGCACACCTCATGAGTAAGTAGGTCTGGCTCATGTTCTCTTCTATTGTTCAAAGTCTATTTCTTTTCTTTTTTTTTTTTTTAATTCTTACTAACTCAAATGTTTCTTAAAAGCTCAAATGAACAAGGACTATAAATCCAGGAGAAAAAATATATGAGGGTGAACTTTTAGTCATTCTGAATGTGAGTACCATTCAGGGAAATAATTTTGGGAAATGAAAACTGCCCTCCTCCCCACCCTGAACAGTAAGCCAGCATTGTTGTCATGTCTCCTTAATTATGGCAGAATTGGTGGTGGTAATAATAAAATAATTTGGGCTTTTCATAATAATACAGTATAATAATTATATATCATAGGGGCAGCAAGATGGTGTAGTGCCCCTATCGCTGCTCCTGCAGTCAGGAGGACCTGAGTTCAAATCCAGTCTCAGACACTTAACACTTACTAGCTGTGTGACCCTGGGCAAGTCACTTAACCCCATTGCCTAGACAAAAAAAGATAATTATATATCATGTGAAATTATGTGTATAATGTATAACAATATAAACATAATAATCTACTACAGCCTTTCTATACTATCTCAAGTTGTGAACACTAAGATGATACCGGTCTCATTTCTCAGAGGACCATTTTATTTTTAGGTCTATCATGATCCATATCAATAGAATGTGACAGTTATCTATATTTCTAATTCTTTGATGATCATATTGATAAGGCTAATGCTACTCAGAAAAGGTGAAGGGATAGCCTGGGGAAGACTTTTCAAACACTGGATTATACTTTCAAGACCCTTGAAGCAATCTGTCCATTGTGTCAACATGAGTTATAACTTGATCCAGTGTGGAGGTAGGGGCCCAAGACTGGAATGAGGGTTGAATATTAGGATAAAGAATGTTTTCCTATCCTTTACTAGCATGAGAGATGTAAGTCTGGGTCATGGAGAACCAGTCTCAGGTTTGTCTCAGAGGTCTTATTTAAAAGAAAAAAAACCTTAAGGGAATGATTCTTTTCTGGCAGTATCATAAGCCTTTGTAAGGGCCAAATTCAGGTGATTCAATTTTGAAGCCTCTGAAGTCTTGGGAACTTAAATCCCCAAGGTGACTGTGAAATGTTTGGCCTCTCTGATCCTTCCACACTCTTGAAAAACTGGATCATCTGCCCAGGATTCCTTCATTTAAGATTTACTCCCTGTAGTTAGCATAGAACCAAAGTGGAGAAAGCATTTAAAGGCATTTTTCTATTCAGTATTCATTTGACTAGCTTTCATTAGGTATTTAGTGTTGTTACTGTTCAGTCGTTTTAGTCATGTCCCACTCTTTGTGACCCCATTTGGGATTTTCTCGGCAAAGATATTGGAATGGTTTGCCACTTCCTTCTCCAGCTCATTTTACAGATGAGGAAACTGAGGCGAACAAGGTTAAGTGACTTGCCTAGGGTCACACAGGTAGTAAGTGTCTGGGGCCGGATTTGAACTCAGGGAGATGAGTCTTTCTGACTCCAGGCCTGACTCTATATCCATCGAACCACCTAACTGCCCTTAGGCTATTTATTATGTAACGTGTATAAAACAACCTTGGAGGTTCATTTGGGCCAATAGGTCAAGATGTTTGTGATGCCCTGACTATGAAGCCCCATTGGGAGATAACTATTAATTTGTTTCTTTAAAAACAAAAAACTAAAAAATCCTAAAAAACTAAAAAAAAAAATAAAAATAATTTCCCTTAACGTCCTACATATCTTACCTTATCACCCTTCAAGGAAGGTATGACTATGTAAGGAATGTGGCTAGTACCTTAACTGCCTCAAGTGCAGCGATATAGGAAGGCCAAGACATCAGCTAATGAAGTAGTCTGCAAGGTCTGGTGTTGATAAATGGATGTGTTATGACGGACTCCCTAGACCTTTTTTTCAGCACAACAAATTCCTCAACTCTGGGCTTTAATGTCCCTGAGGGAAAACTATTTCCATGGGCCTTGTCCTATTTGCTTGGTACTTCCAGTTGTAAACAACCAGCTCAGTTCTGCCCCTATTTTCTTCTTTTTTATTGGTTTTACCCACCTCTCTCTGAAGGTTGATATCTGCTCCTTGGAGAACCAACTCCCTCACACAGTCTATGTGGCCAGCGTAGGAAGCAACCATGAGCAGAGTGGTGCCATGCTGGAAGGAGGGGAAACAAATCAGCATATTAGACCATCTGTTGTATCAATGACTGAAATCTCATGGGAAAAAAAAAAAGACTGCAAAAATGTCAGTGTTCTTGCTAAGCAGTCATGATGATTTAGCTGCAATGGCAGACATTCATCTTGAGTCAAGTTTTTAACGTACAATGGGAGGGGGAGGGGAAGAAATGCAAACAGGAACCGAAATGCTTACTCTCACATCAAAATTGGAATTTTCAATCTAAAAACTCACTTACTGTTCCAGAAAAACAATCTAATTTTGATTATAGGAGGCAGCTGTAATATGATGACCTCATTTAATGATTAATATTATGAATCTTGCTCCAAAACACTATTATTAACCCAAAGAAGTTATCAAATAAGGCTCATTAGGTTTCCAGGGCCAGAATACTCTATTAATAATTTTATTTCTTTATTATTTATTTTATTTATGAACAATTACTTTTATAAATAAATAATTAATAATAATCTCAGTTAATAATTCAGGTTGGATGAGAGATAGCATGTAGAGAGGAATGAATATTGGCCTGGGGGGGGCCTTAGACTAGATTTGGGGCCTGAGACTAGATTTAAGTCCTAGCTCTGCTGTCAACTAGCTGGGTGATCCTGAAGAAGTCATTGATCATTCTGAGCCTCAGTTTCCTCATTGCAAAATTAAGGGGTTGGATTAAATGCTCTCAAAGGGGCATTTTTACTTCATCAGTTCCATGACTTGAGAATAGGAAATTGTGACTACAAAACAGTTCTAGAAAAAAAAAAGAAGATAGCTTGAATCAGATGATAAATTTGGGGGATAGCCATTTTACTGGGATTGTTATTGTAAACAAAGCCAGCCAAGCTTTTATAAACTTTGGCATAATTCATGAATATGCACAATTCAAATTAACACCAGCTGATATATAGAATTCCAATCAAAAAGGCTTTTTATAGTCTCATTATTCTTTTGATGTTTTCTTTGGCATTGGATTTGTGTTTCCTAACCTTCCATGCTCAGCTATTCGTGAAATCTATCAGATTTCTATAGTGGAAGTACAAGGTTCTTTCCACTCTGGCTGTGCTGGGGGGGTGTGTACCAGGCTAGAAGTGATTTTTTAAAATACTAATATTATTTAAATCTAAGACCAGTTTTTTGGGGGGGTAGCAGGGAAGGTGTTTGTTGTTTTTTGCTGCTATCACCATTCCTTTATTTCCCTGTTTTTGTCTGCAGGGTGGCAATAACAATTTTGCTTGCTGTCCATGGCAGCTGGAACGTGTTTGCCAAGGCTCTGTCTAGTCAGGGTTTCAGAACTATCTCTTGCCCTAAGCCATCCTATTCCATATGTGTCTGTGGGGGACCTGGGGCTGGGACTTAGCATGTCTGTTCATTATTCATCTCAGTTCTCTTCTGAAGCAGAGGTGAGGAGAAGAGTGAAGAAGTTAGTCAAGGAGGGATATTCTTGGCACAGATAGTTTCTTCTAAAAGTGAAAGGAAGCTAATAATTTGATATAATTTGACCACCAAAGCTCTGAACATTGTATCTATGTCAGGGGTGACAATTTTTTTTAAATTAAAGGTCATTGTTTGTAGTGGGGGTGGAGGGAGAAATCTGCCTCAGATTTCAGACAAGTAGAAAGCAAAATAATTTAGGATTTGTTCTTTTTTTTAAAGAGAAAAAATGTTCAAATCATTTTTTCCAAATTAGAACAGGGAAAACAATCTACATTATTCACTAGAGAATGAAACATTTGTATGTATAAGATATAATTTATCTATTTAATTTTTGTGTGTATGTATTATGTCCATTAAAAGGTATTTGTTGTGAAGGGCAATCTTATTAACCTACTGGCATCAATTTCCATATCAGCATAGTTGATCAGATTAACAAACTGTTACCTAGCATAGCATCCTCAGGGAAGGGGACACAAAAATAAACAAGTTGTGATATATGTGTATAAATATTAATAGGTGTATATGCATACATATTTCTATATATGTATATATTTTGTATACACATATATTCTTTAATTTTATATTGTGCCCAGTTAAGGGTAAGAGATTGGGGAAAAGCAAGAAATAAAAGAAGAGGCAGAAGAAGAAGGTATCTAAGGAGTAACTGTCAGTTTATGAGCTGTGACTGAAGGTCCTGTTAATAGTCAACATCTGTCAAATTGCCGCATTTTTGTTTTCTGATAGAGGTGGCCTCATACAACAATGCCTAGAAGTTACATTTGTGACTAGCATTTATTTCATTATTCTGCATCTCCATTCCCCCCCCTGCCTTCCCCCATTAGTTCTAGTTTTTAAAAAAAATCTAGCTGGATCCTAGTATGTGTAATATGCAATTTAATGAGCACACACAAACTCAGTGGAAAAGTATTCCTTTGAGAAAAACCACAAAAACTTAAGAATTGAACAGGACCTGAGGACACTTTTTTTTCTTTTTTTTTTTTGCAAGCCAATTAGGGTTAAGTGACTTGCCCAGGGTCATACAGCTGGTAAGTGTCAAGTATCTGAGGCCACATTTGAACTCAGGTCCTCCTGACTCTAGGGCTGGTTCTTTATCCACTGTGCCACCTAGCTGCCCTGACCCAAAGATGTTTCAAGATATTGTCCTATATCTTTGCTTTCCTTTTCAACCAATTGGTCTACAGAAAAAGCTGTCTATACCCATCTGCACTGTTGCTCCTCTCATTCACTTCTCATACTTTTGCAATCTGGCTTCTGAACTCAAGTGGACCTGCTTTCTCTGAAGTCCCCAATAATCTTTTATTTGCCAAACTGAATTGCCTTTTCTCAGTTTTGATCTCTTTTGACCTCTTTGAAACATTGATACTGTTGATCACCCTTTCTTCCTGGATGCTATCTTCTCTGTCTGTCCTTCTGTCTCTCTCTCTTTGTGTGTGTGTCTCTCTGTCTCTGTCTCTGTGTGTGTGTGTCTCTCTTTCTCCCCTTTAACTGCAGTTCTATCCTAGTCTCTTTGATTATATACATTTAATGATCATCTTTATTCAGATGATTCTCCTATTTATATATCTAGCCCTACTCTTTTTCCTGAGCTCTACTCCCCAATCACCAAATTCCTATTGGACATTTCTGAATGTCCTATAAACATCACAAAGCTCAACATATCAGTCAGTCAGTCAAGAAGCATTTATTAAGCTCCTTCTACGTGCCAGGCACTGTGCTAAGGGCTAGGGATACAAAGAGAGGCAAAAGTTAGTCTCTGCTCCTAAGGAGTTCACAATCTAATGTCCAAAACTGAACTTATTATCGTCCCCCTCCCCCAAACTCACCCTTTTCCTAAACTTTCCAATTTCGGTCAAGATCACCCCCATCCTTCTAGTCACCCAGATTTACAACCGAGGCGTCATCTTCCACCACTCATTCTAACATCACATGTCTGATCAGTTGCCATATCTCATCACTTCTATCTCCACAACATTTCTCGCATCCGTACCTTCTCTGTACTTATGCAGATACCGCCATAGGTCAGGCCCCAATCACCTTTTGCTTGGATGATCCAAGAGCTTCCTAATTAATCTCTCTGCTTCTGGTCTCTCCCCACTCCCATACATTCTCCTGACAGTTCGTTTTCCTAAAGTGCAGATCTGGCCATGTCATCCATCTCCTTAATAAGCTCCAGTGGCCTCCTATTAACTCTGGGAGTAACTATGTACCCTGTTTGGCATTCAAGGCTCTTCACAACATGGTCCCAGCCTATTACACATTACTTCCTTTCACACACACTAGAGTCCAGCCTAACTGTCCTTATTGTCTGTCATACATGGTCCTTCATTTCTTTTGTTGCTGTCATCGAGTTATTTCTGTCTTTCCTGACTCTTCATGACCCCATTTAGAGTTTTCTTGGTAAAGATACTAGAGTGGTTTGCCATTTCCTTCTTCGGTTCATTTTACAAATGAGGAAACTGAGGCAAACACGGTTAAGAAACTTGCCCAGAGTCACACAGCTAGTAAGTGTCCAAGGCCAGATTTAAACTCAGGTCTTCCTGACTCTAGGCCAGGTGCTCTAGCCACTGCCCCACCTTCCTGCCCTGAATCCACCACCTAGCTGCTCTTACCTGTGCCTTTGAATAGGTTGTCCCCATCTGTAGAATGTACTCCCTCTTCCTCTTCTTCTCTTAGTATCTCTCATTTCCTTCAAGGCTTAGCTGAAGTGCTACCTTTTAAAGGAACCATTTCTTGATCCTCCCAGCTGATGATGCTCTTCTCTCAAAATTATCTTTAATTTGTATATACCTATATATGTACACACGGCCTCCTCTGGCTAGACTGTAAGCCCCTTGAAAGCAGAGGCTTTTTGACACTTCAGACATTTTGGATCCATAGTGTTTAATATATTGCCTGGCATACAGCAGGAGCTTAATAAATGCTTGTTAATTTATCTAGTCTATTCTTTGCATGAATAAGAATCCTCTACAGAATGCCACAAGAAGGCATCTAGCGTTTGCTTGAAGACCTCCAGGAAGGAGGAACTTATCTTGAAGTAGTACATATCACTTTTAGATGGCTCTAATTATTAGATTTTTTTTTTACATCAGGCCAAAATTTCTTTTCACTGATCCTTGTTCTTCCCTCTGGGGACAAATATAACAAGTCTAGCCTCTCTTGCATGAGCCAAATACTTTCAAATACTTGAATGCAGTTATTATACTCCTAATCCCCAAACCTCCAAGACTTCTCCAGGCTAAGCACCCTCAGTTTAGTCAACTCATCTTCAATATGGCATGAATTTGAGGTCCTTCTCAATCTTGGTTGCCCTGTTCTGGACACATTCTAGTTTATCGATGTCCTTCCTAAAATGTGGTGCCTACAACCAAACACAACGCTCCAGGTGTTGTCCCATTAGGGAGCGCAGAGCAGGACCTTTGCCTTAATGCCATCTAAAGTTGCTTTAGCTTTCTTGTTGGACTTATCACAATCAAATAATACACAAATATATCCAGACCCTTTTCAGATGAATTTTCATCTAGTCACATTTCCCTTCTCTTAAACTTGTGAAGTTGATTCTTTTGGTGAATGGATTGCAAATCTCCAATTGCTCTTATTAAACCTTCAGACACTAGGCTCTGAACATATAAGCATGGTGGCCTAGTGGGGGAAGTATTATGTTTCCAGATAAGTGTCATCTCATACATTATAATGATGAAATTAAGCAAGAGACCAGATCCAATGCAGACTATTTCCCTATCTTTGAGCAAAACCCATTGGAAGAAACTAGACATATAGAATTTCATAAATCTAAGAAAACAAAAAATTGCTATATATTTGTGAGAAGTGTGTTAAGATGTGTCTAAAATCTATATAAACCAATAATTAGTGCTTTTACATATATCTTAGCAACTCAAGTTGATAAGATTTTTTTTTTTTTTAGGCAATTGGGGTTAAGTGACTTGCCCAGGGTCACACAGCTATAAGTGCCAAGTGTTTGGTCTGAGGCCGAATTTGAACTCAGGTCCTCTTGACTTCAGGGCCGGTGCTCTATCCGCTGTGCCACCTAGCTACCCCTAGTTGATAAGATTTTATAAATAGAGGAGCCTCATGTATATACTGTACAATTCTGTCTATCGGAAAAGATTTGGTATGGCTATATGGTTATCAAGTGGGCCCATGAAGACTTTGCATTCCAACTACTTCTAAGTGATCCTGAAAATTTGGAGTTGTTACTGGGGTCAAATAAGTTCCAGCCCAAGAGACTGGAAGAGGAGCATAACCTTATCATCCCCAAAGAAGCCATCTAGCAGGACTTTGTGTACTTGGGTGTAAAGAGAGAGGCAGGTGGATTAGGGTTAGACTTGAGTCATAGCAATAGAATGTTACAGCAGCAGAGGACCTCCAAGAGCATCTAGTGTAACTCTCTTATTTAATGGATGACAATATTGAAGTCCACAGTGGTCAAATGACTTGTTCTATATAATACCATTATTTACCAAGAAATTTCCCAAACTTTGGGGGCTGAGACAGGAAGCACAGCTCAGGCAAAATAAGTGGCCGAGAATGAAAGTCCTGATTGGGCTGTTGATTCTGAGCTTGAAATTTAAATCCTGCAACGATGGCAGACAGAGAAAGAAAGAGCTAGGCTTTTAATAACCTTACAAGTTTATCAAATGTTTTAATCTTAGGTGATACCCACCACCTAAGAAGAAGCAAGGGATCTTATTATTAGTTATTTTTTTTGGTTAGGCAATTGGAGTTAAGTGACTTGCCCAAGGTCACACAGCTAGGAAGTGTTAAATGTCTGAGGTCAGATTTGAAGTCAGGTCCTCCTGATTCTAAGGCCAGAGCTCTATCCACTGCGCCACCTAGCTGCCCCTGCAAGGGATCTTATTATGGAATGGGTCTGGGTACCATGGATTGTTGGAAGCATGCTGAATTTTCAGGATCCTTTAATTTCATTTGCTTTAACATTTTGCTGAATCATTTTCAGTTGTGTCTGACTCTTTGTGACCCCATTCGGGGTTTTCTTGATAAAGGTACTAGAGTGGTTTGCCATTTCCTTCTCTAGCCAATTTTATAGATGAGGAGACCAAGGCAAACAGTAACTTCCTGGGTCAGAGAGCTAGTAAGCGTCTGAGGCCAGATTTGAACCCAGGAAGAAGAGTTTTCCTGACTCCAAGCTTGGCACTCAATCTACAGTGTCACCTAGCTGCCCTTTGTTTTAATATGTGTTGCCTCTCTCCTTCCACTCTTCCCCCACTGCTTTATAGAATCATGGGATTTTCAAGCTAGAGGAAGCCTTTAGAGATCACCCTCTTAGAGTTGACTTAAAGGTATTATATCCATTAAAAGGTATTTGTTGGGAAGGATACTATATTAACCCACTGGCATCAATTTACTTATCAGCATGGTTTATCAGATTAACTAACTGTCACCTAACATGGGGAGCATCCTAAGGAAAGGGAACACAAAAACTAGACAAGCTGTGATGGTGGAGGTGATTGGAAAGGTGCTGATCATGGGATGATGGCTGGGAGGGCAAGTCTGGGTGGGTGAGTGTGGAAGCCACACTAAGACTCCTAAGAAGCATGAGGAAATACGGTGCTACTTAATCAAGGGTGTCAGAGGAGGGATTGGAAAGAAGGATGGGTAGAATTGAAAAGGATAATAGGCAAAGTATGAAGTAAAGGTCAGCCTCACCTACTTTACAAGTTTATATAAGCCTAGATCTGTTGCCCAGTAACTATAAATAAAATAGGGGCAGCAGAACAAGGAAGGAAAAAAAAATCCAGAATGACTAAAATTATAGGGAAATTGAAACAGCTCTTAAGCTAGCAATGGATTCACCTGTCTGATAAGTGCAATTGAATCATGTAGCGACACTTTTCTTTTAGGAAAACAATAGTATTACTTAAAAAGAACTTTAGCTATATCCTAAATTAATAACATTTTAGTAATGCTTTCTGTTCATCTAAGGTCTCTGTCACTGGAGATAGATGAAAATCCTGTTGAGTACAGATGGACAGCAGCACTTGGCTAGGGGTGAGACAGCAAGCTATCTAAGTGGTATTTGTCTGTTGGGGGTAATATCTATTTTTATTTCCTCTTTGAGGTGGCCAATTAGTGCATTTATGTTTGTGAAAGAAAAAAAAAGGCTAGGGGAATGGGGGCAGACTTTAATTGTTCAGCTTTCTAACCCTCACACACAGCATGCAATTGATATATTTCCATGTCAATCTCTTTCTGTCCTGAATTCTTTCATGGTTGCAGTTAGTTAAAATTTTTTTTGTGTTCTATTTGCCTTATATTTGTAGAATTTGTTTTTGCTTATTCTCTGCTCTTCTTCTTTCCCTTTCGTGGCCCCTTTTCTCTGTTTTGCTCTTGCTACTCCCTGCTTTTCTCTTAGATTTAAAATGTTTTAAAATTCTTCTATACTTGGGGCAGCTAGGTGGTGCAGTGGATAGAGCACAGGACCTGAGTTCAAATCTAGCCTCAGACCAAACACTCAACACTTACTAGCTGTGTGACCCTGGGCAAGTCATTTAACCCCAATTGCCTAAAATAAATAAATAAATAAAATGAAATTCTTCTATACTTGATCTTTGAACTGTATGGAGGGGGAAAAAAAAGCAAACACAACAACAAAAAAGAAATGTAAGTAAGCATTGGGAATTGAAAGGGATCCATGAAATGCTCTCTTGACATCATGGGGAAAGTTAGGTGCTCTCGTCATGCATATACCGAGTTCATACACTGTCTCTGCAGTCCACATCCACCCGACCACTGTTTAACAAGAGTTTCAGAAGAGCCAGGTTTCCTTTTCTTGCTGCCCAGAACGCAGCGTTTGCAAGTGGTGTTTCCTTCTGTTGGAACAAAATAACAGCATTTTACAACAGGATTCATGAGATCCTTATTAGTAATGCTACCATCTCAATACAAAGAATAAATAATATTGTCCATTGATGTCAGCTAAAAAGAAAGCATTTCTAAACACCTGCCACATTTTGTTACATATACTTTTGATTTTTTTGGTGTGTAGTTGTTCTTTCTACATTATCTAATTACATTTTTATAGTCATTGTGTGTGTGTATATATATATATATATACATATATATAAATATTTTGGTTCTGCTTGCCTCACTCTGCATCAGTTCACACATCATTTCTTTCAGCATAGTAATATTCCATTATATTAATGTACAATAGTTTGTTTAGCCATTTCCCAATTGACGGGGATCTATGTTGTTTCCAGTTCTTGGCCATCACAAAAAATTGTTGCTATAAACATTTTGGATTATGAGAACTTTCTTCTTATTGATGAACTTTTTGGGGTATAAGCCCAGTAATGAAGTCTCTGGTTCAAAGTCACTTTATTTGCCTATTTCCAGATTTCTTTCCAAAATAGTTGTACCATTTCACAGCTCCACCAGCAATGTATTAGTGTACCTATAATTCCACAATCCCTCCGACATTGACTACTGCCATTTTTTGGTCATTTTTTTCTCTTATTTGCAGGGTGTGAGATAAAAATTCCAGGTTGTTTTGATATGCATTTCTCTTATTCCTAGTGATTTGGAGCGTTCTTTCATGGAGGTATGAATACTTTGAAATTCTTTTGAGAACTGCTTGTTCATATCCTTTGACACCTTATCTATTGGGGAATGGATATTAGTCTTATATTTATTATCTATTTTTATTTATTATCTATTTATATATATTTATTACATATATATTTATTTTACATATATTTATTCATTATTTATATATCTTGCATATCAAACTCTTACCAGAGAAATTTGATACAAAATCTTTTTCCCATTCTGCCACTTCCTTTTTTGTCCTAGATGCATTAATTTTGTCTGTGCAGAAGCTTTTCAGCTTCAAGTAATCAGAGTTACCTATTTCAGCTTTTGTAATTACCTCTATCTCTTCCTTGGTTAAGAATACATGTTCCACCCATAGCTGGGAGAGGTATATAATCTGTTCCTCTTCTAATTTTTTAATATTATGATCTTTAGTATTAAGGTCACATATCTATTTAAAATGTATTGTGAAATATGGTGTAAGGTGTTGGTCTAAGCCTAATTTCTGCCAGACAGCTTTCCCATTTTTCCAGCATTTTTAAAAAAAGTCAAATATGGAGTTTTTTCCTAGATAATTTATGTTTTACATTTTATCAGACATTGTGTTATTGAGTTCCACTCTTTCTGATTCTCTCTTGTCTAGTCTGCCCCATTGTTTTGTCTCTCTATTCTTTAACTAATACCAGATGGTTTGAATGACTACTGCTTTATAATATAGTTTGAGGCCTAGAAGTGTGTGCATCTGAAGCAAAGAGATATGCCAGGGACAGATGAATATGGAAAGATAGCAGTCCAAGGAAGGAGAGTAGTAATCATACTGGGAATAGTAGTCAGCCACCTTCTGGGGGACCAATTCACAAGTTCAAGTGCAAATTAGGGGGAGTGAGTGGAAAATTTCATGTTTGCTGATTTGAAAAAAGAGGACAATTTTATTATAGTAAAACACAATCATCTAAAATGAATGTCTGCTTCCTTCCATGTAAGCACACTTGGGGATAAAACTTGTGGAGATACTCAGTGTTGATAATATTTCTTTTCAGAATTCCAACAGCAGTCCTCAGAACCTGTAACAAGTCCAATTCCTCATTACACAGGAATTTGTGCTTCCATGTATGTTTGGACAATGTCTAGTAATATGCAGATTATAAAAATACTTTGAATAGTTTCATGGCTGATTTAAGAAGAAAAAAAAAACCTCTCACATTTGAGATTAACAGTTTGCCTTCCCTGAAGTTGTCAGCATCATTTTCAGGAGTCGAACTGATAATTAATTTATGAAATTATGAAATGGGGGGAGGCATGTCCATTTCTTTGGGTACTTGCCAAGACTGAGATAGCAGAGGGAAACGGGTTGTAATCACACTTGAATAACCATAGGATGTGTGGGGGCAAACAGTACAGAAAATACAGACACGAGCAGTAAAGGGGTACAGAGGCAGATGGCATGGGGACAGAGGATGGATGGTGAAGTTGGCAGGCAGCGTGAGGGAGGATTGGAAGGGGGAGGAGCAGAGAGTATCACTCATGTAACAATGGATTACAATTGAGAGCACTCAGCAGCACGGACCCAAATGGAGATGGAAGAATGAATGGTTCAGGGGGCAGGAATTTGAGGTCTCATTTTTATAGGGTTTTTTGGGAAACAGACTAACTCTTATTTGTACTACTTTGGAGTTAGTTCATTAACATATTCAAATCATTTTGTCAGTGAAATTTTAAAGATAACATGTCCATATCATCTCAAAATCATCAACACCATTTGGTGATCTGTTGGTCTTTACTGTGAAGGTTTGGAATTTGTCTGGGATTTATATATCATAGGACCAAAAAGCTCTGATAGATGGTTTCCCTTGATTTGGCACACATTATGCACATTATGTAGTTTTTGGTTAATAAATGATACAATTTGTAAATTATGCTCCTTTGATCTTTGGGACCGTTTGAATGTGACTTTGGGGTCCGCTTTACAATCTTCCTTTATTGACCCTTTATACTGGCTAATTATAAGCTTATTATACTGACTAGGAGTGGCAGAGGGAGGTGGTCAGGGGGGCCAGAACAAGATAGAATTTTAACACAGGAGTCTTCAAGCAAAACTGAACTTGCGGCATTCATACTGCCAATTTGTCATGCCCGATGTAGTTTGTGGCTTTTGTGCCAGCTAGGTTTAATTTGCTTTAGTTATTAGTAATAGGGAGAGTTGGCAATGGCAGGGCAGGTTTTAACTGTTGTAAATTCCTAAACAATGACCTTTTAATAAAGAGATTCCCTCTAGCCAAGATACAGTCATCTGGGTGCGTGAAGGAGGAGGACCGTAAGGTTCCCCTTCATCAGGGCTAATCGTCCCGAGGCTGTTGGCAAAGCGTGAAAACTCAATCATTCTGGATCATGTGCTTAGAATGTTTCATCATTTCATTTAAATACACAATACTTTTGAAAAACTCTTTGCAAGGAGAAAACCTGGTATTTTTGTAGCAGGCTCTTAAAATAGGAGACCATTCTCTCCTCCATGATGCCCTAGGAGCATTTTCTCATGGCTTGGCTTCTTGGCCCATAGAGGATGCTATATGAAATGCCTTACATCTTTCTGCGATAAATCACCTCCCTTTTCCCGTTTTTAAGGAGAAGGGAGCAAGGCATGCCCTCACAGCTTCCAGGAGGTCATTCAGCTTTCTGAAGGTGCTTGCTTCTACCTCCCTCTTGCGTTCAAGCTTATCACAGAACAACAATATGGAAGATGATTTTCTACACATGATGGCGTGTAAACTGCTATCCCCCATTACCAAATGCATCCTTTTCCAATCTTCTGTTGCCACACCCTCCTCAGTCCCTTCCTACTGCCCCCAAATGGGAGGGTCTTGGACCAAGGATCCTCACCCAAGTAACTGCACTATGGAGAAACATCAATATTTATTTTTAATGATAAGGGATAGGGAAGTAAATTGAGTCACTTATCTCTCTGTGGCCAGTACAAATAATAGTACCAGATCTTTCCTAAATTTTTGTTTTACATAGTACAATGCACATAGAATTTTAGAGGATTCATGGCAAGTCAAATAACTTTCTGCCGCTATTTCTGAATTTTCACAATGGGCCTAACCCTCCTGCATAGAGAGCTGAAACAAACTATAACAAATATAGGCATGCCTTGACTAACATTATTAACCAGTTTTGCAAAAGCACATTGTTAGGGAGAAGTTGCAGGCACAGTGAGTTCCACAGTAGCAAGGTCATAAATGGACAATTAGGCAAATGATATTATAGCAGGATTTCATGACTAATATTAGGGTAGGGTTTGGAGTGTCAGCTCAGTGCAGTGGATATAACATTTCAAATCCAATAATCCAATCCAATCAACATTTATCAAGCACCCACTATATGCCAGGCACTGTGCTAAGTGCTATGGTTACAATGAATAACAAGAAAGACAGTCCCTGTCTTCAAGGAGTTTATAAACTCCTTATAAAAAGTTTACTTTTAGATTATAATCTAAAGACAACACCCAAAAGGAGGCAGGAAATGGGTGGAGGACATCAGGCAGTATCTGGTTAGAGGGGTATCTGGTTCCTTGGAATTGAAACCAGGCAGAGCAGCAGATGCAGAGTGGAAGTGAGGTAATGTTTGTAAAAAGCACTTAATACAGAGCCTGGCCCACAGTAGGAGCTACATAAATGCTTATTTCCACTTCCCCTCTCTTGGAGTCAGGAACTTTTTTTTTTCCAATCCTGGTCCAGTCCATGGCTAAGCCATTTTTCAGTCGTGTCCCACCCTTCATGACCCCACTTGGGATTTTCTTGACAAAGATACTGGAGTGGTTAGCTTTTTCCTTCTCCAGCTCATTTTACAGATGAGGAAATTGAGGCAGACAGGGCTAAGTGACTTGCCCAGGGTCACATAGCTAGTAAATGTCTGAAGCTGGATTTGAACTCAGAAAGAGGAGTCTTCCTGACTCTAGGTCAGACACTCTATCTGCTAAGCCACCTAGCTGCCCTGCTAAGTGACAATTATTAGCTGTGTATGAATTTTTCACTCTTATCTACTAAATTCTATAAGGGTTATGATCTTCAAAGGAAAGTTTTGCACTGATGAAATCACAAATGCACAAAAAATGGAGTTTGGTTTGTGTTTTTTAAAATAGCATTTTGCTTTTATATCACTTTCATTTCCAAATATATAGCTCCTGTCTCCTGTTTCCAAAGAGTGTTGTATTCTTATAACAAAGAATTAAAGAGAATGGGGGACAGTTCATAAAAAAACTATCAAGTACATCAACATTATG